GGTACGCGAGGAAGGAAAGTACGTTGTCAGGCCGACTTGTTCCTGCTACCAGATTGGCTTTGAGGCTCAGGCGCTGCACTCACGGATCAAGTGACACAGCGCATCAAAGGCGAGCCAGATGAAGATGTACGTGATCTTCTTGGGTGCTTGCTTCGGCGCGTTGGTGACGGTCAGAAACGCCGCTCCGGCGACGAGGACGCCGACGAAGCCGAGCGCCTGTATGGACTGCCAGCTGAGCAAGTCTGCCATGCTGCTTTGCGACAGGTATCGGGCCGAATTGGTGAGGAGCTTGACGCTGGCGCCTGCTCCAGCAAGTTGTCACGTGGAAGAGCTACGAACGAAGCCCGCAGATGGTGAGAAGGGAGAACCGTACAGTGGGATATTGTCTGATGAGAGGGAATCTACATATTGGGAGACTAACGCAGTGGAGAGGAGGAATGGCGCACGGGCCACCCACATAAGCAGATCCAACGCTCAGCTAGACTCGCGTCCCTCTGTATCGACAATCACTCCCCCATCCCCTTGGTAGCTGGTAGGCTCCCCAGCGGAGAGTCGGCCCGGCCATCTCATCCATGGCAGCTTCCTGGAAGTCCAGCTTGAATGATCGATGCTCCCCACCTGGAGATACCTTCGGCGTGGGATTCAGGATGCGAGCGTACAGACCCTAACCGTCCGGTCGAATCCACAGCTTGCGATGGTGCATTCATCGAGCGCCACGACATCCTTGACGATGGTGTTGCCTCTACCGCCTCGCGACCATTCAACGGAGCTGCGCAGTCCATCCCCGGCACTGCTGGCTGGCTGCCCATGCGCATAGATGACGGCGCGGACTTTGCCCTGCAGATCCACGAGACGCACGCTACCATCCTCACCGTTGACGCACGCTCCGCGCCCCGAAGGCATCCATGCGTGCCGCGGCGATACGTAAGGCGAGTACGGCGCGGCGGTCCAGAGCGTCGCCGCACGCACGTCCGAGTGGACGGGCATTAGGAGCAGCCGAGAGAGCGAGGTTGGGGATGCGGCAAAAGAGGATGTTATGCCGGACTGAGAGAGCGAAGAGGAGAAGGCGTGGTCGCCAGTCTGTGCGGAGAGGTACATGCCAGATGGGTGGAGAGCGAGGTCCAGCTACAGGAAGAAATACACGGTTGCCTTCACCGTCAGCAAGTCTGAGATACAGAGTAGCAATTACGAGTGGCACGCACCAATGAATAGCTGACATGATAGTCATCCCGCGACGGATTCGTGTTGTATCGAAGTTCCTCCCAATCGGCAATCACCCTCTCCTCGTTGCTCTTCGTCGTTGGCCCTTGTGGCGATGAAGACGGAGCGGACGACTGCACGTTGAGCTTGCGTAAGCAGTCTTCTAGCGAGCCGGGGCCAGCAGAGAATAACGATGTGCCGTCTTGCTCGCTTGCGGCCACGCATGGACGCACGCTTTCAACCTGCCGATGGGTAGGCAATGCGACGTAGTGCAGGAAGCAGTCCCCACGGATGGTGTATACGAGCCAATCGCGCAAGTCCAGCTGCACTGCATTATTCTGCGAATCGGTCACTTCTCCGCTCTGGACCTCTGCGCCGCTACCGTACATGGCGGTGAAGCGCCGCTGTCTTTCCTTTGCATTTGGAACGAATAGTATCGCTTCGGGGTTGCTCGCTGTTTCGATCGTGTGCACGAGCTCGTATGAGACGGCGAGATCTTTCGGATCCTCCTCCTCCTCCCGGACTCCTGTGTCCTCGTCCGAATCGTGACGCGCTGTTCGCGTTTCGTCCGATGCATAGCATCCGTCGTTCGAGGAAGCAACGGCACGGTAGATATTGATACGCCGATCGTAGCCAGCAGAAGCGAGATAGCGACCAGAGGCATCGAAAGCGACGCGTACGACAAACTTGTTATGGTGTCGAAGTGTCTGCACATGTTTGCCATTGAACTGTTCACGTTCAGAGGTACCGGAAGGCTCGGCATGTCAGAGAAGCCATGATCCTGGCATATGTCATAACTTCAACTCACGCAGTCGTAGAGAACGACACTACCATCCATGCCGGCACTCGCGAGGAGGCGCCTTCGGACGGCGTTCAGCCGCCCACATGCGGTCTCTCCATGCACACCGTCCTCCTCACCTACTTGCGCAACCGCGAGGACGGCTGCCTTGTGGGCACCTTCCATGACTTCCAGGATCTCGCCGCTCTGCACATCGCTGAACACGATCCGCTTGTCCGCGGCCGTCGTGACGAAGCATCGCCTCCACTCTTTGCGGTACTCGGCGATGGCGCTGTCAAAGTAGCGCCGCGGCAGATAGAGCAACTTGATGGAGAGGATGTTGGACGTGTGGAGCTCGCCATGCGTCCTTTGCAGTCGGTACGGCAGCGATGATGGGCCGGGTAGGGTCTGCGAGAGGATAGAGAGCGCCGCTTGCTGTTTTGCGTCTACGATCGAATGTTTCTGCAGGGACATCTGGTGGGAGATGTACGTCTCTGTCACGCTGAGCAGGTCGTCTATCACCTCCGCCGAGTCTGGTGTCCCATCTGCTTGGCGGCTTTGCTTTCTCTCGACTGCCACTGACGACGCAGAGGGTGAGTGGGATGCCAGGTCACGTCCGGCCACAAGGGCTTCGCGCTCGAAAGCCTCTCGGGTCTGCGAATACCCGACGTGTGTGAGGTAGCGCAGGATCAACCGGTGAGCGAGGTGATGCGGGTCGTCCGACGGCAGCGCGCCTGAAGAGCCGTGCATATTTCCGTAATAGGCGCCGGTCAGCCCGATGGCATGCGCAAGCGATGAGCACACTGAATAGCAATTCGGACGTGGGAGAGGTCTTCAATCGGCCTATAAAAGCCTATCAAATAGATCGGCGCACGAAGAACACGCAATCTCGAGGCAGGTCAACCGTGCACGCAGCCAGGGACATTGATTATCCTGCCACTGATTTGGGCGAAGTCGAGGCGCAAGCATCAGCACACTAGCCGGGCTGAGAGATGCCAGGCTTACCAGTTACCTGAAGTGAACCAGATATGATGCCTTTTTCACCGTGCTCATGGGGTCTTCACTAGTCACCACCAACGATCAGGTAATTGTCAAGGAGAAGGTATATGATTCTGGTAGATGTGCCAATGCAGAGCGATTGGGTTTGATCCCTTCGTGTGTGCGCGTCCACCCAACAACGGCGCACACGGCACAGAAGCACCGCCAACCCCACACACACGTGATAGACTAACTGCCCGGCAGTTGAGAGCCACCACAGTGTGTCAGTCACTATTGTGGCAAGGATAATCGTTTCAATCCATAAACGAGAGAATCGCGATCCTCGTCCCTTTACCTCACTCACCCACTTTACTGTATAAGCTGGCATCAGCGATTCGTCTTCTCGGCGCCCCGCCCCCCTTTGTCGCTTGTTCGTTCCGACTCGACGCTGTTCGCACACACCCGCGCCACTACTGTAGACAATTACTTGCTCATCCAACAGCCGCAGCGCAGTCATGCTTGGCATCATCATCGACGCCATCGCGGTCCTCTTTGTCATCATCTTCTCCATTGCCCTCGGCCTCGGCATCTCGCAGCCGTTCCAGGGCGCGCTGATCCGTCTGCGCGCCAACTATCTCCCCAAGGCTGTCTCGCTGGACAACGTCCTCGAGGATGGCGCGGCTTCATCCCGCCACGCCTTTGCCGAGTTCATCCAGTCGAGCGAAGCTAAGAGCGCGGCCAAGATCGGCCCCGTCGTCCCCGGCATCTTCGCGATGATGCGCCGCACAAAGCGGCTCGAGGGGTGGGCTGGGCTGTACAAAGGATCCGTACCCACAGTCATACAACTCGTCTGGCTGTGGATCATCACGTGGGTTGTCTTTGACAGCACATCGAGCGGCTTCGGAGGATCGTATAGGGCTGCGCCCGCTGGTCCCGGCAACTTTGCTTTCTGGGGTAACTTGGTCTTCATGCTCCTCTTGTCCTTTGCCGCTCTTCCGCTCAATGTTATCTCCTTTAGGTCCGTTGCCTGGACTTGTACACACTGTCGAAAGCTGGACAGACTGACTGACTGTTTCCCTGCACTTCGGTATTGCTGCGCACAGAGTCATCGTTCACCCCCGCATTCTTCCGCTCAATAAGCCAATGGCAAATCTGCAAGAGATCCTCTCCTACTCGGAGCTGCGCAACCCGCTGAAGCTCTACACTATTCCCGGCTTGGCGACGGCCACCGTCCTGCACATCGGCTGGATTGGAATTGCGACGCGCATCATGCGCCACCTCTTGGTCCCCATGCTTGGTGGGCTGGACGTGCCGGAGCCAATCAAACCGGGTGAGACGACATTCTCTGGTCCGACGAGCGACACGAAAAAGTACTCGACGATCGGACTGGTCATGTTCTTCCTCTGGAACCTCGCCAGCCTTCCAGTCCTCGCACCGATCGAGTGCGCCATGGTCCGCCTCAGCACGCAGCGCCCCGAGAAGCAAAATCCGCTGCATCTGGCGTATGCCAAGCCAGCGTCGACGCTAAACAGCTACAGCCACCAGGCGAGCGTACCTGCTCAGACGAGCCCGCAAGCTACTGCGGCCGAAACGGACATGCCGAGCCGCACGTCGTTCGCTATCGAAGATCAGGAAGAGGCAGAGGAGGCTGCTGGAAATGCCTTTGCTTCTGAGCCTCTGAACCCACAATCCGCGAGCGCAAACGCGAACGCAACTCCGGCTCCAGTTTCAGCGCCTACGCCAGCTCCACCTCGCTACTTGCCAACCATCTCGCGCGAGCCCGCGGAGCCAGTCATCGCGCTGCGACCCTGTGACGAGGCCGACTCAGCCGAGGAGGCCGCGCGCCTGGAGCGCGAAGGTGGGTTCGGCGCGCCGGTCGTGTCGCGTTACACGGGCCTGGTGGACTGCCTGCGCAAGATGCGCGACGAGGAAGGCATCGAGAGTCTTGGTCGCGGCTGGTGGGTTACGCTGAACGGTCTACTCATTGCGAGCTTTTCGTAGTGGATGCGGGATCAAGGGAAGATGAGGTGATGCAAGGAGGAAAGGTGGGAAGGATGCTTGTGCGCCTGCTTGGCCGCGCCATGCATCGGAGAGCAGCGCCCGGCTCGTGCCCAAGGAAGACATAGCCCAGGCAAGCCTGCAACTCTGGCAATGCTGCCAAGCACGCGCCCATCCATTAGTTTTCAGCGGTTGACCAGACCTGCTTCAAGTCATCTAGGATGGAGCTGTGAGACAGTTCTCTTTTCTTTTCCAGCCATTGTAATGTACCGATCACGTTCTTCAAGATCGACTATCGTCGAGTGTTCCCTGCAATACATGTGAGCGCTGCTGATGAGCATCTCGAGACTTTTTTTTGGAACCCATGTGCATGAACTCCCCAACATGGAGACTCCTCCACCCATAAGTTGGCATGCCGTTATGTACTGGATATATATTGGCTTGCAGAACGTCTAGACGGCCACAGCGTAGGACGCACGTGAAGGAAAGTTGCGCGCAGAGGTCCGGCGGTCCACAGCGAGGTTGAGAATGTTCTCGGCGACTTTGGTACCTCCATTTGGGGGAGACGAGCCATTGCCTCTGTTTCTCTCGCCGACAAGATGCATCTTACACCATTGTGCAAGTCCATACAGGCCGCAGGCAAATAGATCATGAGTCCTACATTGCCGGTTCACACCGTAGCGATCGGTGCAGTGGTCATCGATTGGATGGGAATACAAGCGATTTCGTGCGAGACGGTTACATAAGCGGGCACTCGGAGTCGGACCACCGCTGTCGAAATACCTTTCCTCACACATCGACCGTGTGGAAGCGAATCAACATTTCGTGCACACAAGGGTGTATACCCGGCGAACCTGGAAGAAAGGCAGGCGGCTCAGAGACGGTTCTGCAGGCCCATTCGTGATTGATGCATAAATAACGCAATTGTCCGTCGGAGAGTCGTATGAATGTTGTTTGCCCCTCGTCTCCAGGCACGCGCGCGACCAGGCTCTTAAGCAGAGTTTCCTCCTCAATTGCCACACTCAAGATGCTGAGACTATCTTCTTCTCTGTCTCTGACAGCTCGTAGGAGAAGCGACGCCGCGATATCTTCCCGTCCGGCGTTACAAAAGGGAGCGGGGCCGCTGCGGACACTGCAGGGGTAGCATCAGTAGCATCAATAGGAGCGGCCGCATCTACGATGTTGGCATATGAGAAGAGAAAACGGGGGGAGGGGGTGGGGGGAGTCCGGGTCCAATACGTGCAATCACGCCTCAATATCTGCGCACCCACACTGCTCCTGCTCACACCTTCGATCCTCACCGCCTATCTATCCATCCTACCCCACAGTGACGCGCCATTCCTCCGCGTGTTCACCAACGCCGTTCCTTCCGTCGGTATCCCCACCATCTCTAGATAGCTCGAGCTGCGGCCTGACGAGGGGCAGTGGTCCAGCGCCATCTATCCCTTGCGACGGGCGCTTGCTTTCTTCCGTCGGGTAAGGTCACTGATGCGTGAGTGCGCCAAGTGCCCTTGTAGACAAACCGCTTGCTGACGATGGAGCCTGTGTCTATTCTTCGAACAGCGCTGCAGGCTCGTCAACTTTTCCCCCGAGGCCCGGCGCGATGGCGCAGCTCGTATTGTTCGACTTGGTCGGCGTCTTGATCTCGAGCAGAGGCCTCATCCTGCTCACGTTTGCACTGGTCGATGCGGAAACAGAGCCGCGCGGGTTCGCGAAGCCCTAGACTCCATTCTTGCTATCGGCGGCATTCATGGGTTGGCATCGGCCGTTGAAGTGCTGATGCGGGCAGCAATCATGCTGCACAACACATGGAAGGAGAAAGGTTCCTGGTGAAGTTGGTGATAGTCTTTTTTGCCTAGCTCAACTTCGACGAAATCCCCCTGTGGACCACGCTGGCGTTCCAACAGAGGTCCAGAATACGTCGCCTTTGCAGACGGCGATCTCCGCTCGCGGTGCTGGTGCTCCCCGTGACGGACCCGCAGGAGGGGTTTTCGTGCTTGATACTTGGCCTTCTCGTCCTGCTCGTTGCGCTTCGCTGGCTGCACGGCTGGCGTACGCCATGGGCGGGAGTCCGACGGGCAAGGCGCTGCGACAGGACGTGAATCCCGCTGGTGGTGGTGGCGAGAGTAGTCTGCAGATGCTGTACGCAGCTAGCAATAAGTCCATGCGTTTCGCGGCACTGTCGTCCGCTTGTGCTTTGAGCACGGTGCCCAAGAGGGAGGATTTGAAGAAGGAGCGGAAGCGGATTTGCACATGTGCTGTGAGTGTGAGCGGCAAAGACCAGGCAGCGCATGCTATTTAGAGAGCAGTGCTGCATCCCTGTGAGCTGTGATCGGTCAGGCGGCCAGTCAGCCTGCAGTGGCGTTTGGCGCTTGCACCGACAGGGAAAGCGGGGTTGCGTGGTGAGAGCGGAGGCGGTGAAAGGGCACGTTGTGCTTGGGGGCAGTATACCGTATGGCTGTGTGGATCTGAAGTAGGTCGGTGGGCGGAGAGACACGGTTTGGAGCAGGCAAAGGTTTGTGCGTTGTGCCAAGTGCCGACGCTGTATTTTTTATCTGCAAGAGGTGGTTACGACAGTCATTATCAAATTGCAAGTCAAGATCAAACGCACAGAGTAGTAGTAGTCGTTCCTGGCCAACACAAACACCCCACGTACCCCGCCCACATGGAGACTTTTTTAATGAGGTGGCTTGTGTCCTGCCCCGCCAGTTTCACACGTGCGTCGTGGTGCCCGGTGCCGCGGATCCGTGAGTCGAATGACCCAGCATTTCCGCTCTCTTCCGTCCACAGACCCCAAGCCACCAACATCATCATCCAGTGCCAGAACCAATACATGGTATGTTCCTTCTGTGTCTCTAGAAAACGTCCCATCCCATCTTCCTCATCTGCTTCGCTGGATGGCGTCTCGGGCTAGAAACTGGGGCTTGCACAAGGAAGGGTGCGGGCACGTTCCAATCTCCTGTCCACCACTCTCGGTCCGCCCTCAGCGTGTCGAGTCCATCCAACTCACGTGTACCAACCAAACTGTCCCCTACCACCCGGCGGGTCCCGTGCCTTTCTCCGCCCCCTCCCCTCCCCAGCTTGTGGTTGTACCCTTCCGTTCCGCAACACTGGCCAGATTGGCGGGCCTGTGTGTCGTATGCGCTTGATGAATTGGCACTCCGTTAGTAAACGCTGCAGCCTTCTGTACACCCTTGACTCGCCTACCTTTCTCCTCTTCTTTCGTTGCACAGCTTGACCTGTTATGCAGCCTCGCATACATGCTGATACCAACCCTTCCAGTGCTTCCAGCAGAGTCCGCGGGGGGTCGGTCCAGCCAGGTCAATCCATAGATCGTCCCAAACGAGAAAGCCACCTGAGACATGCGCAGGCTGAGTTGAAAAACACTGACTACAGCCATCCAGCAAGGCTCCCAGATTCAAGCAGCCAATTGCCAGCAGTTTCAATGATGATGCAGTTGAATTGGCGGAAACACAATGGACGAACGATGAAACGTTACGCATGACGGGGCCCCAAACTCCAAAAGGTTCCGGTGTCGGGGCACCTGCGTCCACAGCCTTCCAACCCCGCTTCCTCCTGTTGCAAATCAAAACCGCCCTGACAGTCGTTGCTCTACAGGTGAAGAAGTGCAACCTGCTGAAGGGTATAAAGGCCACGAGGTGTACGCATCTGCTCTTCTCCAGAGTCCACATCGCCTGCCATCCTCAAGAATCTCTCCTCCCATCCTCTTCAACGCATCAGCACCTTCCCCATTCTCAAAGCCAACCATGACGCAAAAGATCGCCGCCGCCTTTCTGGCTCTGCTGACGTTCACCGTCTCGACGGCGAGTGCAGCCCCTGCCCTCGAAGTCACCGGTTCTGCCGCTTTCGTCGGCGCCCGCGACGGGGGTGCTCCCCGGCCTAATATGGGCAACGGCGGCGCGACCTCGGCTTCCAGCGGCGTGTCGCCCCTGACAGTCAAGCTCGGCGTCACGTGCGCCCAGGATGTGAGTAGATGCATGGACGGCGCTTGGCGTTGAGCTGCACTGCAGATTCGTACGGCGGACGCTGAACTTGCACCGTCCTGCCGACCGACTGTGCTAGCAACTATTGCCACCAAACGCCTGCACAGAGGAAGGCAGGCCAGAATGGCGTGTGCGACGTGCGGAAGGCCAATGGCGGCGTCTGCTACAAGGTGGGTTGCGGTGCACTTGGCGTACCGTACGGGGGGACGACGGGCAAAAATTGCTGATCCTTGTCTTCGCACTCTTGCCTCATGGTGTATTTGCAGGACTCGGGATGTATTAGCGGCTACTGCCAGGCGTCCAAGTGCGTCCCGCCGACGCCTACCGTTCAGCAGTTTACGTGCAGCAAGTCGGACAATAAGGTTTACTACCTGGGCATCATGGACGATGCCGTGTACACCAAGACTGCTCCGCCGCCCACGCAGCCTTAGTGAGTCTCCCCGCGCCACGCACCGTCGAGGTCCCCTGTAGGCAAGCAGGCAGGCATTCTGACGCTGTTGACACACGCTCCTTTGCTCGACTAGCTTGACGTTTAACGGCCACTACTCGACGCACAACTCGGACGGAAGTTCGGGCGAGGGCGTCAATGAGGAGGTCTTGACGAGTGAGTGGGCCGACGGGTCGTCCGATTCGTGCCGGCTCTGCTGCGCTCTATTATGCTGTACTGTGCTGTGCTGATTTCGTATCGACCTGTCTCTGTCGCAGCGTCCGGCGCGAGCCACAAGCTGAGGGGCGAGTTCTGGACGTGCACGTTCTACTCGCCTTTTGGTTTGAACACCTTTGGACATTCGTCTGCCGACCATGAACAACCAGGTGGGTAGGCCCTTTGTGACCTTTGATGATGCTAGGGCACTCCAAGGCATGCACAGCAACTGATCGTGTTTGTCTTCACATCCCTTGTACTTGCTCTTCGCCAGTGTCTGACCGTGTCGAGGGGCGACGGCAACTACAACTCTGCCACGGGCGCAGGTGCGACGCTGCACTATGCCCCGTGCTCGTTCAACACACAGCCCGTCGGGTCGGACCACGGCGACTACACCATGTCGCAGTTGCAGACCTTCGACTCGTTTTCGTACTACGGCCCCGGCGGCCTGGACCCGGCGAGCAAATCGCTTGCGCTATACTGGACGCCGATCAGCGGTAATGGTTTCGCTCCCGGGGGCGAAGCCGTGCACTCGCCTGGCACGACTTACTCGACCTGGCTCACTGCTTCCGGGACCGGCTCTGCGCTCGTGTACCTCACGCCGGCGTACGTTGCTGGCCCGTAGGGCTGACATGTGCGCTGAAAATGCTTGGCGCCCGGCTGCTGCTGCTACAAGCTCAGGGCGTCAGTCCGCATGGGCCAAGCACATTACGGCGCCTTCAGTTCGTTTCGATTCTCGGTCATGATCTTTTCTTCATTGGGCTCCCTGAGTTTGCATTCTGCTACATACGACGGACGCATAGCTGCGCTCTGGCGCTGTACACTTCATAGTGAATAGTTGAATGTATGTTTTGAGCAGCAGCTTGAGTTGAGAGGCTCGATGCGTCTTTGTTGCGTGCTCATTGACGGTGTATCAGGCGTCATGGACTGTGAAGTGAGCACAATGGATAACGAACGTGCTGCCTACTTGCATAGATACTCCACAGGTCTCTCTCAAATGCCAGGTCGGCTCCAAAAATCACACCAAGGAATTGGTCAGTGGTGTTTGTGATTCGGTGCAACACCGCATTTCTCTGTTGTAATGCAACTGTCACCAAAAGCCACATCGTTTTTTTTTCTCCCGCACGTTTCTGTTTTTGGTGGTTGTTACTGTGACGGGTTGCAATCACAGCTCGCTTCCAGTCTGTGTTCGCGCAGCAGCTACTGGAAACACCATTGGGCTGCTAGAGGCCGAAACACATCGCCTACGTAGCGGCGAACTTCATCTGCGGCAAGCGGTTGTCCGAGGACGCTCGCTTCCCTGCACTGATCGGAACGGAGATGGAGGCGACCACCGCGACACACATGACCCTGCTAGGTCCTTCGCCGTTCTTGCCGGCGAAGCGCTCGCAGCTCCTCGGCAGCTTGCAGAAACTGCTTCCCAATGCTCAGCTCAAAAGTGTCGATGCACTCTACCTGCACTTTGTGCAGCCTGTCGCCGACAAGGCGCTCTCTTCGGCTAGCGCGGAGGAACGAACGACCCTTGACTATATCTTGCAGTACGGAGATGACTTTTCTCTCTCTGAGACCAAGGAGGAGATCTTGAAGGCTGTCGAGAAGGCAAATGAAAGCGGATCTACAGGTCAGGCCACCGTTCTCTTCGTTGCCCCACGGGCCGGAAACATTTCTCCATGGTCGTCGAAAGCTACCGACATTGCGCGTATGTGCAACCTCGGCTCCCTTGTCGCTCGTCTCGAGCGCGGCCTCGCTTTTGTCGTGACCACCGTTGCCGGCTCCACGGGTCTGGCGCAAGGGGATGTCGGGATCATCGCAAACGAGTTGCACGACCGAATGACCCAGTCGCTTTCGCTCGAGCCGCCTACGGCCGCCTCCCTCTTTGTGCAATCGGCACCGGCTCCTTTGAAGACCATTGACCTCTTGCAAGGCGCCCAGCCGAGCCAGGTTGATCGCCAGATTGCACGTCAACGCCTCGAAAACGCTAACAAGACAGACGGCTTGGCGCTCGCGCAAGACGAGATCGACTACCTTGTCGATGCTTTCGTTGCGTCGTCGGCTTCGCTGGGCCGCAATCCAACGGACGTGGAGCTCTTCATGTTCGCGCAGGTCAACTCGGAGCATTGCCGACACAAGATCTTTAACGCCGACTGGGTCATCAACGGTGACAAGATGCCCAACACACTCTTCGGCATGATCCGCAACACGCACAAGCTTGCGCCTCAGCACACCATCAGCGCCTACTCGGACAATGCAGCCGTTCTTGAAGGCTACGATGCCGAGCGCTTTGCGGCTGCGCCTGCTGGCAGCGAAGAAGATACGATGGTGGTCTACGCGGGCAAGCGCGAGCCCATGCCGCTGCTTGTCAAGGTAGAGACGCACAACCACCCGACAGCCGTTTCGCCTTATCCTGGCGCGGCGACAGGCTCCGGCGGCGAGATCCGTGATGAAGGTGCCGTTGGACGCGGCTCAAAGCCGAAAGCTGGCCTCGTGGGCTTCATGACATCCAACCTGAACCTGCCGCAGTCGGCTTCTGCGTCCGCTGCCACGACGCCTTGGAAATGGGAAGAGGACTTTGGAAAGCCGGGTCATGTCGCCAGTGCGCTGGAGATCATGAGGGATGCTCCGCTCGGCGGCGCCAATTTCAACAACGAATTCGGCCGTCCTGGTCTTGGTGGCTTCTGGCGCACGCTCTGCGAGCGAGTGCCGGTGAGTTTCACCCGTGATCTATTGAGGTGGGGCCGCCATCGTACTGACATATTTTACCCCCTCTTGTTGGAAAGACTGGCGATAATGGCGCTGAAGAGGTGCGAGGATACCACAAGCCGATCATGTTGGCTGGCGGGCTTGGCAATGTACGACCACAGTACGCACTCAAGTCGAAGATCACACCAGGCGCAGCCATTATCGTACTCGGTGGGCCAGGCATGCTGATCGGTCTCGGCGGCGGTGCCGCCTCTTCGCTTGCAACGAGCGGAGGATCCGAACGTGCCGACCTCGACTTCGCCAGCGTGCAGCGTGAGAACCCTGAGATGCAGCGTCGCGCGCAGCAGGTCATCGACATGTGCTGCGCCCTGCCGGAGAACCCGATCCAAAGCATCCACGACGTCGGAGCCGGCGGGCTCAGCAATGCCCTACCCGAGCTCGTGCACGACGCCGGCTTGGGCGCCACGTTTGAGCTGCGCGACGTGCTTGTCGATGCGCCTGGCATGAGTCCTATGGAGATTTGGTGCAATGAGAGTCAAGAACGATATGTTCTCGCTGTTGCGCCCGAGAAGGTTGCGCTGTTCGAGAGCATCGCGCAGCGTGAGCGATGCCCCTTCTCGGTGGTCGGCCACGCGATGGAGGAGCAGAGGCTGCTCGTCACCGATCGATTGCTTGGATCGACGCCTATCGACTTACCCATGTCTACACTGTTCGGCAAAGCGCCCAAGATTGGCAGACAGGCGACGAGCTTGAAGCAGGCGCTGAAGGCTTTCGACAACACGCTTGTCTCTTACCTGCCTGAGCTCCAGGACGAGGGCATGCGATTGAAAGAGGCGGCAGATCGGGTCCTCCATCTACCGAGCGTCGGTTCGAAAGCGTTCCTCATCACTATCGGCGACCGAAGTGTCACGGGTCTCATCGCCCGCGATCAGATGGTCGGACCGTGGCAGGTGCCTGTGGCTGATGTCGCAGTCACACGCACATCCTATGGCTTCGAGGATACGCTCACGGGCGAAGCGATGGCGTCTGGCGAACGTACCCCGCTTGCCCTCATCAACGCTGCTGCTTCTGCTCGCATGGCGGTGGCAGAGTCGCTCATGAATTTGGCGGCTGCTAGTATCGAAGGGCTAAGCCGCGTCAAGCTCAGTGCCAACTGGATGTGTGCCGCGAGCCACGGAGACGAAGGTGCAAAGCTTTACGAAGCGGTCCAGGCCGTTGGACTCGACCTCTGCCCGAAACTCGGCTTGGCCATTCCTGTCGGCAAGGACTCGATGTCCATGAAGATGGCTTGGGAAGGCAAGGAGGTCACTGCTCCGCTCAGCTTGGTCGTCACCGCATTCGCACCCGTCAACCGCATTGATCGGACGTGGACGCCGCAGCTGCGCACAGACACGGGAGATGACACAGTTCTCCTGTTCGTTGACCTCGCAAAGGGCAAACAGCGTCTCGGTGGCTCGGCACTCGCGCAAGTTTTCCGTCAGCTCGGCGCAGAAGCACCCAATGTTGAAGATGCAGCGCTGCTTGCGGCTTTCTTCCGCGCTTGCATGACGCTCAAGGCGCTACGCGTGCAAAATCGTGCGGACAAGGAGGACTCGCTCGTCCTGGCATACCACGACAGATCTGACGGTGGTCTCTTTGCCACGATCACGGAAATGTGCTTTTCTGGTCACATCGGCGCAACGATCAACCTCGATGCTGTTGCGCCTGCAGGCGCCGACGTCAATGCGGCGCTTTTCAACGAAGAGCTTGGAGCTGTGCTGCAGGTACGGGCTGGAGATGTCAAGGCTGTTTCCACCGTATTCATCTCAGAAGGTATACCGGCGGAAGCCCTGCGCATAATCGGAACTGTTCCAACCGATGCACAAGATCAGAACATTGCTTTCGCTCGACCTGGCTCAGCACCTTTATTCAGGTCTTCGCGGGCCGAAATGCAAAAAGCGTGGGCAGAAACATCATTCCGCGTACAAGAGCTTCGTGACAATCCCGAAGCGGCGCAATCTGAATATTCACTCATCACCGACGAGCCGCGTGGAGCGCTGGCCCTGTCGTATGATCTTAAGTACCTACCCGGCGCAGATGTCCTTGGGGGGCTCGCACCATCTCCCGAGCGACCGCTTTTGTCACGTCCGAAAGTCGCCATTCTGAGAGATCAAGGAGTCAACGGCCACATCGAGATGGCCTGGGCATTCTCACAGGCCGGTTTCTGCGCTGTCGACGTGCACACTTCTGATCTCATCTCGGGAAGAGTTTCGCTCAAAGATTTCCGTGGTCTCGCTGCTTGCGGCGGCTTCTCCTTTGGCGACGTGCTTGGCGCAGGTAGTGGTTGGGCCAAATCGCTACTGCTCAACCCACGAGCCAAGGCCGAGCTGACAGACTTCTTCGGAAACCGCAAAGACACATTCGGTCTCGGCGTATGCAATGGCTGTCAGATGTTCTCGCAGCTCGGCCACGCAGGCCTGATTCCTGGTGCGGAGCGATGGCCGTCGTTTAAGCCGAATGCAAGTGCGCGCTACGAGGGGCGTGTCTGCATGGTTGAAGTGTCCGAGAAGGCTGTCGCCTCCAGCGTCTTTATGCGCGAAATGGCTGGCAGTCGCTTGCCGGCCATTGTTGCGCACGGCGAAGGCAGAGCGAGCTTCGCAAGCGAGGGTGATCTGCAGCACTGCGAGTCGAACGGTTTGGCCATCCTGCGCTATGTGGAGGATGGCGCGCCCACGGGCCGCGGTACGACGCGGTACCCGATCAACCCGAACGGATCGCCGCACGGCATCACGGCGGTGCAGACGCCCGATGGACGTTTCCTCGCGATGATGCCACATCCAGAGCGAGGTGTCACGCGTGAGGCCATGAGCTGGCGTCCAGAGGTGGAGAGTAAGAGCTGGAGAGGAAGAGGGCCTTGGTTCCGCATGTTCGAGAGCGCAAGGGTCTGGGTCGGCTGAAATGCAAGCTCACTGTGGGCAAACAAATGCATTTAGACGCTGTAATGGATTTTGCGACTAGATATGACTTCCAGGAATGTGCTTTATGTCCTTTGAGTTGTTAGAGTGTGGATAGCATGAGCACAGAACGAAATACTTTGACATAACATAAATACAAATTCAATACGCGTCTGCAACAATCTGCACAAAGTGCATCCACCGTCTGACGATTTGCAACACCGCCTCATAGCCCCCCTTCTGCAATTCCACCATGAACATCTCTCTGTGCTTGCTCTTGCAGTCTTTACACTCTTCGTTCACCCTCTCGCCAACGTCCTCTAGCTCGAGATGGCATAGCCGCTCCCAACGCCTGCTGAGGCGCACACCGGGTACGGAGGCGGTTGATGCGCCCGCAAGCAGCATTTGGCCTTGCTGCGCGGGGAGGAAGGAGCGCAAGATCGGATCGGCAGATTGGCACCTGCTGCGCCATTCGTCGAGGCGCTTGAAGACGTTGATTGAGCGACCGACCTTGAAACATGCTGTCGCGCCTGATCCGTTGCTTCGGCCTTCGCGGCCGCTCCTCGCGCGATCCCGCAGCTCGTAGACGTAGCAGTATCCTTGCTCTTTGAGATCTGTCGGGGTCGGGGGAGTAGACAGGGCTGTACGAAGACGTGCTTGCGCGCGTGCAGAGAGCGTCGAGGGTATGTACATCGAAAATGAAATGTGCTTGCCGTTTGGTAGGATAAATCCCGTCGTCTTGTTGATCTCTGCCACATGCTGGAAGCAATAGTCAGGCGCAATGCCTAGGTCGTCTTCGTTCTCACTTGAGGGGCTTTGCCCTGGCCCTGGCCGTCCCAATGCAAGCCCCGAGCCAGGCGCAAGTGAAGTTGACGCAGATCCCGGAGCGGCCTTTGTGATGCGCTTTTTGGCAGGTGAAGGAGAGGGTGTCGTGGAGCGTGATTGCGTTTGTCTGTCCGATGTAGACGCGGTGACGAACCGTGTGCACCTCGTACCGTCCCTCTTGATTCCTGCGCACTGCTGGCGGCCGAAGCTATCGAGCATGATGGGTAGGCGCAGAGCCGCTTCGTTAGCGGAGGAGCCCAGCGCGGCTGTGAGAGCACTATCGGCACTGTGGGCACGCCTGTGCCGGCTCGGTGGGCTGGGCGGTGAAAGGAGTGCAACCGGCTGGGAATCACTTGATCGCTCACGCGGCGGCGTACTTGGATGAAGAGAGGCTCGGTATGGTTGCTTTTCCAACACCGGGATCACGGGCATCGAAGCTCGCTTGCTTGCGTTCGTTTCCCATGGTAATGTGCCTTGCGACGGAGGTATCTGTAAGCTGGCGGCCAGGTTAGATGCGAGTACAGATAATATCCCTTTCCCCAACCCAGAGTCTCGCACAGATCGTGCTACCCATGGTCGGACACCCGGTGTCAAAGCAGCTGGATGTTGGCGGGGTGGAGATGCGGACGAGACGCCCCCCGCTGGACTGAGGCCAGGTGCGCGAACTACAAGCGGCGCAGGAGAAGGACCATGTTTCAAAGGCACTTTTTGCGGAGAGCCGGACCCGTGAACCTGCGCTATCGCATGTCGTGGCGTTGCATGCCACCTAGCATGCTGAGCGTTGGACGGTAGGCAGAGTCGTGCGAGAGCTTCGGGTAATGCAGCATGACCACCGTTTTCTTCCGGCTCTTTCGTGAGATCTATCACCACTGGTGACTGTCTATCGATCGATGGTATTGGCGGGGACGCATGTTGTCGTGCCGCATATTCAATCGACCTGCTCGCTTGCGCCGTTGAAACGGACCTGCCTGCACTCTCTTGATCTGACATGCCCAAATGATTTTTTTCGAAAGCGGCGCACGGGTAGGTAATTTGGTGCACAAGGGTAGTTCTATTAAGCTGCTGCTGATGGACAGGCCATATTGCGGGGAGTTAGGCCTGTGAGCGAGCAAGGGCGACGGCGACGGCCAGCTTTGCCCGTGCCTTGAGCTCGAGCCCGAGCGCCGCCCCTGGCCCAGAGAACAAGTGGAGGGGAGGTCAGATTTCCTGCTTGTTGCTTTTCGCTGCGCTCTTTTCGCTTGGCCGTGATTGCCACATGTGCGCGCCGCCATGAACAGACCATAACGCGGGGAATGACTTGTCCAGAGGATAGGGTATCGTGTTGGTGTATGGGGTATGGGAGTTTGGCGTCAGTCTCGTTGGTGGCTCGAACGCGTCGCGTCTCGGATGCAAGATGGCATTACAACCCTAATTTGGAAAGAGTGAAGTGATTGTTTAGGGTTTGAAAATGGTGTGTGCGATCAACACTCTCTCATCTCGATCCATCCAGTGGTACGCGTTAAATGTATATTGACCTCGTGCACACAACACATTCTTCGGCTTTGGGTCAAGTTGGCCAAGGAGGCTTGGCTGCCACGCTGCTGAAAAGGCTGGACATCTTACGGCCTCCAGATTGTGAAAAATGCCGCCGTCTTTCAGGGAATATGAGGGAGCAACGGCAAACGAGCGGACACCCTTGCTGCGCCGGGCAATGTCCGAGACGCAGGATGTGCCTACGACCTCGACCGCCTCACAAAGGCTTCAACAGCACTGTTCGCATTCGCACTCGCATTCCCAGCTGTACGAAATTGATGCAAAACTTAAACGTTGGCGCTCAGCAGTAGCGACCAAGTTCAAGCACCTTTCCGCGTCCAAGGCAAGAGAAACTCACCCTCAAGCCTTACTGAGTGTCTTTGGCACACCTGGCCACGTGCATCATGCTGTATGGATCGACCCTGCCCATTACGGATCGGCAGTGAAAGGCCCGGCTGCTCCTCCCCAATCGAGGCGCGAGGAGGAGATTAAGGAAATGAGGCAGAAGAAAATGGATGAAGAACAGCTCGAATTCGAGCGCGAGATCGCTGCAGCCAAGGAGGCTATCAGCCATGGTATCCAACCCAAGATGATCTCCAAGGGCACGTCTGGCTCCTATTTTGTGCGCGCCAGAATCGTGGATACCAGTACAAACAACAACGTTACAGAACAGGCCCCAGGGATTGAGACGGTAGCGGTATTTAAGCCAAAGGACGAAGAACCGTACGGCAACCTCAATCCCAAGCGCAAATTTTTGCGCAAATATCTGTGGTGGGCTATGGGCCGACCGTGTCTCATACCCAACTTCTCCTACCTCTCTGAAGTAGGCGCTTCCTACCTCAATGACCGCATGGGAATCGACATGGTCCCGCCAACCACGCTCGTCGAACTCTCCAGCCCTGCCTTCAGCTACGACTACGAGACGCGGAGACTCTTCCGCGCAGATGCACACGCCCATCCTCTACCAACTAAGATCGGTTCATACCAGCGTTTCCTGCATGGGTTCGTAAATATGAGCGATTTCCTGCGTCAGCACCCCTGGCCGCCAGATGCGGGCGGGCGACCGCAGAGCGTGCAGGAGAGAGACTTCAAGGAGGAGGCCAAAGCACACAAGAAGGCCAGGAGGCGCAGCAAGGCAAGGTTGAGGAGGTGTGCCGCTGGATGTCTCGATACCCTGCTCTGCAAGCGTGACTTGGACTATTCAGAGGTTCAAGGCAGGCAGCAAAGTGGAGGGGAGGACACGAATGGTGATGTCTACCCCAGTCATCGACTCTCGATGGTCAACGGGATTCACCATCAGTCTTCCGATATCGGCGCGGAGTTCCATTGGACCACAGAGTTGATGGAGTCGTTCCGCTTGGAGCTTGAAAAGCTGGTCGTGCTCGACTACCTGATGCGCAACACGGATCGCGGACTGGATAACGCGATGGTGAGCGTATGGTCTACGAAGCCCGACTTGGCTTCCGGCGCACCAGCTCCAGGGAGTGGCGGCAGTGGCAGTCAGGATAGTATTGTGAGAAGGATGAAGATCGGCGCGATCGACTCCTCGCTGTCCTTTCCGCATTCGCACCCGTCCGGCATGCGAGAATACCCTTTCGGATGGCTCTGGCTCCCGTCCTCGCTCATCGGCCAACCGTTTAGCGCCGGCATCCGAGCGCAGCTGCTGCCCGTTCTCAACGATCCTTTGTGGTGGCGCGAGACAGTTGCGGGCCTACGCATAATTTTCGAGAAGGATCGGTTCTTCGATGAGGCGATCTTCGAGAGGCAAATGGCGCTGCTCAAGGGCCAAGGCTGGAATATCGTGCAGAGCTTGAGAAACCCGGAAGAAGGTGAGTTGCAGCAATTTGTCGGGGTGCTACCTTCAAGGCGCTTGATGGCACGCTTAATCATACACTGTCCTGCTGTGGTTCCAGGACCCTTGGAACTCTGTGCACGTCTCAAAAAGGTCGTTAAGACGGACAGGCGTGATCTACCGCTCAGCGAGCTATTCGACCCAGCTAATGCAGATGGAGTATCGATCGTCCTGCTCGATTCTAGCATCCAATTTCCCTTTGTTGGGCCATCGGACGAAATCATCCAGGCGACGGGCAAACACGCAGTCGGAGCCGGTCCAGCCACCCCTTTACCGGCGTCTGCGAGCATTGTACGTGCGGCAACAGCACCAGACGGTCCACTCCCTTCTACTGCTGCGACTGCAAGGTCTATCCCACAACCCCTTCCAGGTTTGCGAGATCCGATGGCGAAAATACTGCGTGAAGCCGGGAGCCGCAGGAGAGCAATGTCGCCGCATAGCAAAGGTAGCAATGCTGGTGTTGGCAGCGGCCATGCAGAAGCATTAGGGGGGATCGCTCCGAGAGTGGTAGACGAGGGCGAGGGTGTACAGGAGCAGCTTGGCATCGAAGTTGTCGCCGAGCTCGAGAATGCGGCGCGCAAGGCTGGGTTCCCCAAGTACATGCGCCAGGCGCGCTCGCGCATCTCGAGAGATGCAGCGAATTCATCGACAGGAGCGATATCGATCGAGAGCGTTCTTGCACAAGCGGTTGCGGAGGAGCGCGGTGATCAGGAGGGGGAGACAGACGTACCCGGCAGTCCAGAGCTCGAGGAGCAGGCGATGAATCTGTCCGTCGCTTCCTTGCCTTCGACGATGGGTCTGGTCGCTCCGCCTTTGAGCAGGCGCGCCCAAACTGCTAGGGCTCGGGGCAGCACGGTAGGCACGGCCGCGACTCCCAGATGGGGACCATTCATCGGCTCAGGCGTCGCAGGCGCTACCAGTGGCGAGCAGGCCGAGCCAAAAGTGTTGACATTGGTTGAAGTGAGTGAAGGTGGGCGCACAGAAGCAAAGGGGCCAGCGCTGACGAATCAACGATCTCTGCTTCTCTTCATATCACAGCGACTTTTGACAGATAGGAGTCGGGCATTATTGAAATGGTACTAATTGCGACATTGGCATTTACGAAAGTTCACGAACGATCGATCACGCGGCATCATCTCATGGTTTAGCACAGCAACACAGCACTCAAAAGATACCACACTACCTTACAGTACAATTCTTCTCACTCAGCATACAAGTACAATCCACATGTGCATCCTACAGGTATTGATCCCCTCAGAAAATATGCATCTTGCACTACATGATGTCATCGGAAAGGAGAGTGGCATGTGAATCCGTGACGACTCATCCGCTCATGTCATCGGCAGAGAAGCAGTAGTGCCATGCTGCAACCCATGAGGGTCGTACGACAGGGCCATGCTGTTTAGCATACTTGAGCTGGACTCGCCAAAGCCGGTGCCACTGGCCCCTTCAAAGGCGCCCCATAGATCGCCGATTTCAAAGGGGAGACCTGCCTCCTCTGTCAGCCAGCTAGGTAATGGTTCCCCAAGACCGGCGGCATCGCCTTGATCCGCATCATCCCAGATCACTGGTCCAGTTGCGCTGACGCTTGCGATAGTGTTGGCCGATGGAATCAATTGACTCTCTTGCCCTTGTTGCTCTGCCTGTTGCTGTTGCTGTTGCTGTTGTTGTTGTTGTTGTTGCTGCTGTTGTTGTTGTTGCTCTACGGCATGCTGAGCAAGCAGCTTGTTCAACAGAGCGAGACGATTCTCATCATCCATTCCGCGCTCAGCCTCTCGCAGCACGCGTGAAGGCGTGATCGCTCCAGGCGCCGCCATCCGTTCTTCACCAAAGACAGCTTGCAGACCTTGCTGAGGGTTGCGCTTGGCGATCTCTTTCCAAGCCGCTTGCAGCATCAGTCGGATTAGGTGCGCATACTTCGCCGCAAATCCCTCGCACAGGCGCGATGCTAGCTTTTCAGCTGCCTCGAACGCCTCACCCGTGTGTACCAGCTCGCCCTCGCTGAGCCTCGCGCACTTGATCGCAAAAGCGGCGGCGAAGGTGCTAGTCGCATACGTGTATGCGGGCGCGTGCCCCAGATTGGCGCGATAGCTCTGCGAGTGATTTGCGATGAAGAGGACTTCGCGAGCTGCGCGTGCTGCATGCTTGATCATGGCTAGCTGCAACGGTGGGACCATAGCGAGATCACCCACTTGTTTGACTCCACGAAGTGCCGTGCACAGAAAGTAGAGCTCCTGCGTCGCTTTCTGTAGACGCAATGAAGTCATGACGAACGAATCCTCTGCGTAGCCGTTGGTTCGAATGACCTGCGACCAGTGATGCAACCAATTGTTTAGCTCGTCTGAAACTTCAGACATGCTGGCGGCCATATGTTCATTAATGGGCGCGTCATACGGTGCCAGCACGTCATGGTGCTGCTCGCGAATCACGAGTAGCTCGAGGGTGGAGATCAGGCGGGCGTCAATCCGGATGGACAGCGGGGAAGGCAAGAGCAAGAAACCGCGGCAATTCGAGACGTAATGGTAGGAGAGCATTGGAGGACGACCGGCACCGAAGCTGATCTGATGGTCGGAGAGAAAGAGGAAGAACCAGATCCGAGCCCTGCCAGTGGTGAATGAGAGATTCAGCACGAGTACCTAGTACAGTGATTTTCCGAAGTGGTACTCACTGATGGGCAAGTTCGATCTGCTCAGCCTTGATGGCACCGCCTCGTTCCCTCAACAGCAGCAGCTTAGTGTATGCCCTGTCGAATCCATACTCTTGCGCCATACGAGTTGCATGCCCACTCAGCAGCCATCCATTGTCGTGATACGCTGCAAGCAGAATCAGCGCCTGCACTCGCTCCTTGGCAGCGTGCACCTGTGACTGCGCTTGGGCTTGTGCCGATGCCATCGCCACTAAAGCCGGCGCTGCAAGCAGCGTGGTAGTGGCATGTGCAAAGAGCGTTTGCCGCGCATGCTTGTGCGCTTCGGCTAGGCAGCGTGTGTACAGCGCGCTAAAAGGTGGTGGGCCATGATCGATCAAGCAGCCGATGGCGACGATCGTATTGAAGAGAAGCGTGCTGCGGGAGCGCACCGAGTCGAACCAGCCTCGGCTGGCCTGCTCAGAAAGGAGCGTTTCGAAGTCGAAGATCGTGATGAATGTTGGTACGACGAGCGCGAAAAGCGCAAACATTGATCGTGCTGCTGCTTCAGAGATGATGCCGATTTCGACTACATCGCCCGCAACGGAGTCGTCCGAGTCGTCGGCATGTCGAGCTCGCTTGTTGCCCTCAGTGGATATGGGAGAATGTTCATGGTCATCCTCTGTCTCTGCGGGACGCTTGGATCCCGGCTCCGGAGTCGATGAGACAGGGTCGTAGGTCCCGTCTTTGCTATGCTCTCCTGGCCGGCTGCCGCCCAAGCCGCTCCAGGCTCCCCGTGAGCTGGCAGGCGAATGGGCAGCGCTGCGGGTACCTGCATGTCCGTTGGCCGGCACGTTGGCGCTAGCAGCAATGACGGCAGCATCAGCCAAGCCTCGCAGCGCCGAGATGGGTGCATGGAGCTGCTCATCGGCCAGATCTTCCGCTTCTGCAGCGCTCACTACGTCAGATCGACTTGCAGCTGGGTTTGAGGGAGCGTCCCTATCCATATCCGCTCGCAAGGGGCTGAATGGATGAGTGCTCGTTGAGAAATTGTGACCATCATGAGCAGCCGCACTGGCGGAAGGAGTAGCCGCAGTGGCCAAAGGGGAGATATGAGCAGTCGAAGTGAAGTGTGGAAGCAGCGGCGCTGAAGGTCGATTGTGAAGAGATGCTCGTAGCTCTTCAAGTAGAGTTCTACATTCCTTCAAGCCCTCTCCCAGTTCATCCAGCCGTTGCGATTGTGCTTGAGAGTGCTCGCATGGTCTCGTGGAAGAGGATGCGAGCAATAAAGCAGTGAGACTGGACGCTGCTCTCGCTACGACGTCTGCATCAAGAGTTGTATCGACGCCTGCCTCGGTATCTCCCACTGCTCCCTCTGCACCTGCGCTTTCCTCATCTCCTTTTGCCTGAGGGGAGCTCCGCTTCCGATCGCGCAAAGCGAAGACATCAGCCAAGTTGCGGATTAGCGCGGCGTGCGTTTCTTTTTCTTCCTCTGTTGCTGCTGGTAGAAACTGATTTCGATGAGAGCCAAGTGTATGGCCGCTGTTCATTTGTTGCGCTGCCATTGCTCCTTTATTCATCGACGCTGGGACCAAGTCGGAAGGACGTCGCTTTGATGCACTTCGCGGGGCCTGAGATACTGAACGCGTACAGCGTGCATCGTCCAAACCGGTCTGCACCTCCCCCTGCCTCGCCTGTGTTGAAAGAATACCCGATCCTGAATCGCCCAGTGCAGCGTTACTACTACCGGCAGTGCCGCTTGTCCCGCCCTTCGGTCTTTCGAATATGCAATCAAGCTTGCTCTTCACGCATCGAGCGCATGGCTTGATTCCATCGCATCGCATCTTCTGACGGCGACATCCGGTGCAGGCGCGCGAAACCCGGGAGGTGGGCTTGTACGCATAGATTGTGGTTGTTGTAGTTGTTGTTGTCGTTGCATTCGTTGGTGGCGGCGTGGGCGAAGCTGCAGCTGTCGATGCTGGTGGCGTTCGTGAATGAGCTGTTGCTGGTGGCGAACTTGCGCGGTAGTGGCACTCGGATCGGGAGATGGACGGCGAGCGTTGGGGATGCGGAAGCGAATGCTGGGTGGGTGGAAGCAAAGGAGCAGACGGTGAGAAGGAATATGAGCCATTCAAGGGCCGCGGTTGATCGCTGCGCGTAGTTTTGCATGTGTTGCCTCCTTCACCGACAAAGCATGTAGCGGAGGCCGAGCGCTCAAAAGGCGGAGAGAATGCAGAAGTGTAGGACGATGAACCTGCTGCGAGCTCTACTGCTCGCTCGCTGCGCGGGTGGGCATCGAGCGAAGAGTTGTGGGACATGCCATGCTTCGTCGTAGCGTATATACTAGAGTCCTGCCTATGCTGTTCAGCACTATCGCTGCGTAGAGAAGAAGGATAGGCAGATGCAGCGCATTTGCTGTAAATCTGCGTCAAGGGCGGGGGCGGCAAAGTCCAACCTTCGATGCGGTGTTCCGAAGGTCTCGGGCTGCTTCCGGCTACTCCCAAGCGCGGGGACATGTGCTCGTCGGCCATACTTCGATCAAGCAATTTTTGTGCTGCTTGAATTGAGTCACAACGACATCATCCTAAAGGTCAGTATGATGGCAGGTGGACTGCAAACCTTCCAAGGTGGACATGGATGCTGGAGTGCCGGAATGGTTTCATGCGGCCCCGCGCACTTGAAGCGCCGCCTGTCGAGTCTCAAGTCCCACACCTGGTTACCCTTTAGCTCATCTGGCGGTGGATGAGATGTCGGATTTGCGGCAGTCGTTTTTGACTTCAACAAGCTAGATGATCCACGCTGCGTGTATAGAGCGTGAGCCTGGTCGTATGGGGCAAGGTCTTTGGCCTGCCCAGCAACCAGCGTCTCATTGCCCGTACCCGTCGTTGCCGGTTCAAACAGAGATTCATAACAGTCGGGATGGGCTGAATTTACAGGAGAGGCCCCAACGAGCGGAACTCGGAAGAGGTGCCTTGGCTATTGGATCGCGGCCTTCTTGCGCTGCCAACGCAAAGGGCTACCACGACTTCTGACATCGACAACTTGGAGAGCTTCTTGGAGAAACAGAGTAGCAACTTGCAAGTTGAGGACGAGCCGGCAAGCGAGAAGGATACAACAGCTTCCCTGACGCCTACTGTCACTTCGCAAAGGAGCAGCGGTCAACCGCGTCACAGGATACCAGTAGTCGCAACTCCCGGCTTTCGGCTGCATTTTCTATCCCATCATGGCGCAGCTCTTCGCAAAAGACCCGCGCAGCACCGGGCTCTTCATCGGCGGGCAACGCTTATCAGGCGCAGAGATTCGGGACCAGAATGTACTTGCTGCACAGACCATCGCCAATATCGTCAAGAGCAGTCTTGGGCCAGTCGGGTTAGACAAGTGGGTTGGCATCCAAGTGCAGAGTTGTGAATGCGTATGTGGGCCCCAGCTGACCATGAGCTATCATATTCCCCATGAATTCGTCACAGGATGTTGGTCGATGACATTGGTGACGTAACCATCTCCAACGACGGTGCCACGATTCTGCAACTGCTTGAGGTCAACCAGCCGGCAGGGCGCATCCTGGTCGAACTTGCACAGCAGCAGGACAAGGAGGTCGGCGACGGCACCACCTCGGTCGTCATCATTGCCGCCGAGCTGCTGCGTCGAGCCAACGAGTTGGTCAAAAATAAAATTCACCCGACCACCATCATCACCGGCTACCGTTTGGCGTGCAAGGAGGCGTGCAAGTATATGCAGGATCAACTAAGCACCAAGGTCGAGGCGCTTGGCAAAGAGTCGCTCATCAATGTCGCTAAGACGTCTATGTCCAGCAAGGTTATCGGCAGCGACGATGACTTCTTCGCCAAGCTTGCTGTCGACGCCATGCTGGCTGTCAAGACTATCAATGCGCGAGGCGAGATCAAGTACCCTGTCAAGGCGGTGAACGTGCTTAAGGCGCACGGCAAATCCGCGCGCGAGAGTCTATTCATCAATGGCTACGCGCTCAATTGCACCGTCGCATCGCAGGCAATGAAGACGCGCATCAAGGGAGCCAAGATCGCGTGTCTTGACATTAATCTGATGAAGCAGCGCATGCACATGGGCGTGCATATCACCATCGACGACCCGGATCAGCTGGAGAAGATTCGGGCGAGAGAGAGCGAGATGGTCCTCGAGAGGATACGTAAGATTCTCGCCGCTGGCGCCAACGTCATCTTGACCACCAAGGGCATCGACGACCTGTGTCTGAAAGAATTTGTCGAGGCGGGTGCGATGGCGGTTCGCCGGTGCAGGAAGGAAGACTTGCGACGCATTGCGAAAGCCACGGGCGGAACACTCGTCTCGTCGCTTGCGAACCTGGATGGTGACGAGACATACGAGGCTTCGTCCCTGGGCTATGCCGAGGAGGTGGTGCAGGAGCGGATTAGTGATGACGAGCTAATCCTCATACGCGGCACCAAGCTTGTCTCGAGTTCGAGCATCGTCCTGCGCGGCGCGAACGACTACTTGCTCGATGAGATGGAGCGCGCACTACACGACTCGCTTTCCGTCATCAAGCGCACACTCGAGTCCGGCAGCGTCGTTCCCGGCGGTGGGGCGGTCGAAGCGGCGCTGAACATTTACCTGGAGAACTTTGCCACCACGCTCGGCTCGCGCGAGCAGCTTGCAATTGCAGAGTTTGCGCAGGCTCTCCTTGTCATCCCCAAGACGCTCGCTGTCAACGCAGCGAAGGATTCGACCGAGCTGGTGGCCAAGCTGCGCGCGTACCACAACAGCGCACAGACTGCCGGCGTCGGGGAGCCGAAGAAGGCACTGCGCTTCTACGGCCTGGACCTGCTCGAGGGCAAGGTCCGGGACAACCTCAAGGCAGGCGTCCTGGAGCCAACCATCAGCAAGGTGCGCAGTCTCAAATCGGCACTTGAGGCAGCTACCGGTTTGCTCAGGATCGACGACGCCATCACCATCCAGCCTGAAGAGCCGCCTGAGGATCCGCATGCGCACATGTGAACGCCATCTCTATGTGCATTGTGCCCCGCGCGCACGCACATAGGTGGCACACGTAGTTGGTACACGTTACTCTTGCGACCTTTCGGCTACGTTAATAGTGACATCATGTGTAATGTACACGTCTGCATTGGAGTCTGGATGATGGCGAATCTCATGAAACGAGTCAAGCTATTTGGAAGGTCGAACCTGCCTCGATGAAAACAGACAATGGCGGTGCGTCAGAGGCAAAAAGAGATGATGAATATTTGTTGACAATACCATGACAGGTGTGGCAAGGTGGGAGTGGATGGCAGAGGCAAATGCAGTTGCAGCCTTCCGAACAATCGAAAATCCCTTTTATATGCCATTGAGCCAGCTGAGAAGGGATGTCAAGGTGGCTTCAGTCTTCTTGATCCAGGATCAGCGCCAATCGGTGGCACGAGAGAAGCCCATTAAGGCGGGCGTGTTGCGTATAATTTGGAAGGACCGCAACGAAAATTAGCGGGTCTATGCTAGAGTCTTGCTTTTGCTCGATACAAATTCAGGGTGGGGAGAAAGTCGGAAAATGTGTCCAAAACGATTTGCGCTTGCATCTAATCTTCTTGTGACCGGTCATGTACTGTAAAAAGGAAACGAGGGAACGAGCAGAGCGCACGATCAGCAACGAACCCTTGTGATGAGAAAAAGCATTGGCCAAGAAGCCAGGCGTGGTGCTCACTATTGTAATGCAGAAGCTTTTCAATCAGGTCGACATGAGTAAGGACCATCCTTCGGCAGCAATATCGTCGCAGGCCAAGCTGCGTCAGGGCCTCGCCTTCTTTGACATCCGCCAAGAGCAGCATCATGTATTGGTCCCACTTGTCGCCGATGACTTTGCCGCAGGAAAAGCAGCGGATGGGGATGATCTGCGATGAAGCAAGGGCAGGCGTTCAGTTTGGCTCTGGAAGCTCCCCAGGTTCAGCATGAGGCAGAGGCCGATCAAGGGATCCTGCATTATGGATGCACTGAGCTTGCCGCCGGGTCGCAGGCAGGAAAACGAGAATGGCACGCACCATCTTGGGAGCTGTACAGCTGGGTGACCGGCCGCTGTCCGTTACCCCAGTCAGTTCCTCGAGCGTTCCTCCCTACTTGTGGGTTGAGCGGGGTGGTATGTAAGCCCGCTGCAAAAGGATGTCGTGTGTACTGTGGCAAGCTGCAGGGATCTGGACGACTCCAAAGTTTATCTGGAGAAGATGGTGAAGGTGATGAAGGGCTTTTGCTCGGCATGGGCGGAACCACATGAGATGCAAGTACAGACGGGCTTGGTGACTCAACTGGTTTGGTGACTCAAAAGTGCCTTTCGGGCGCGATGCGGCGGGAGGCGTTTTGGTTTTTTGTGAGAAAGGGAGACTTGGAGGTGGTTGCAGTCATATGAACCTTCCTCTTACACTCACTGGACCCGAAGCTGGAGGCATTCTTTTGACTTGGATACACTTGTTGAGGACCTGAATCAGCGGCAGCAAAGCAATCTAAACGCCTGCTTGTCTCCTCCAACTGAGAAGCAGCCGGGTGTATGCTGGACAGAGGCATCGCGACTTCGCTTCGATCGTTCATTCCCGCTCGATTGGCTCTGCGTCCTGTCTCGATATCGAGTCACCCGATCGTCTCACCGTCCCGACTCCCAGCGTCTTACCTGCTAAGAGGGCTCAGAGCTGACAGAATGACAGCTCCCGCAACTTCGTCTTCTGCTCCACCTTCTGGAGCGGCGGCGCACCCCCCGGCTGTGTTGGCGAACACCAAATCTCGTTTCGGCGATTGGCCTGCGAACAAGGTTCGCTCGACCTTTGTCGACTACTTCAAGGACAAGTACGGACACACATTTGTCCCATCCAGCAGCACCATTCCATATGATGATCCGACTTTGCTGTTCGCCAATGCTGGTATGAACCAAGTAGGTACCCTGCTTGACATTGCTCCAATTTTCTTGAAAGCGATGCTGGTCGCATGCTAATGCTGCTGTCCTCAGTATAAGTCTATTTTCCTAGGCATTGCAGACCCATCCTCATCACTTGCATCGCTCAAGCGTGCAGTCAACTCTCAAAAATGTATTCGCGCCGGTGGCAAGCACAACGATCTGGACGATGTGGGCAAGGACACTTACCATCACACGTTCTTTGAAATGCTGGGGAACTGGTCTTTTGGAGACTACTTCAAGAAGGAGGCGATCACAATGGCGTGGCAGCTTCTGACTGAAGTCTACGGCTTGCCCAAAGATCGTCTCTATGTGACCTACTTTGAAGGAGATGCCAAACTGGGCGTCGAGCCCGACCTCGAGGCACGCGATCTGTGGCGCTCCGTGGGCGTCGCAGACGATCACATCTTGACAGGAGACGCCAAGGACAACTTTTGGGAAATGGGTGCCACGGGGCCCTGTGGTCCCTGCTCGGAGATCCACTATGACCGCATTGGCGGGCGCAACGCAGCGTACCTCGTCAACAAGGATGACCCGAACGTGCTGGAGATCTGGAACAATGTCTTCATGGCCTACAATCGCGAAGCAGACGGCAGCTTGCGGTCGCTCCCCTCCAAGCACATCGACACGGGCATGGGTTTTGAGCGCCTAGTTAGTTGCTTGCAGGACAAGCCGAGCAATTACGATACGGACGTCTTTCTGCCGCTATTTGCCAAGATCCAAGAGCTGACCGGTGCACGGCCTTACGCTGGCCTCTTGGGCGCCGAAGACAAGGATGGCATCGACACGGCCTACCGCGTCGTTGCCGACCATGTCCGGACGCTCACCTTTGCCATCAGTGACGGCGGGGTACCCGACAAGGACGGCCGAGGCTACGTGCTGCGCCGTATCTTGCGAAGAGGCACACGCTACGTGCGTAAGTACTTCCAAGTCCCCATCGGCAACTTCTTCAGCCGGCTCGTCCCCACCGTCGTCGAGGAGATGGGCCACTTCTTCCCTGAGATCACCAAGAAGATTGACAGTGTCAAAGCTATCCTCGACGAGGAGGAGGAATCCTTCTCACGCACGCTTGATCGCGGCGAGAAACTGTTCGAGCAATACGCCAAGCGCGCAAAGGAGGCAGGGCTCAAGCAGCTTAACGGCAAGGACGTCTGGCGTTTGTACGACACATTTGGCTTCCCTGTCGACCTGACGCTGATCATGGCCGAGGAGCACGGCTTGGGTGTCAACGAGGCAGAGTTTGAGAAAGCGCAGGCGGAAAGCAAGGAGGCTAGCAAAGGTGGCGTAAAGGAGAAAGGCAGCGAGATGCCCAAGTTTGACGTGCATGACCTGGGAGCGCTTGAGAAGGACTCATCGGTGCCAAAGACAGACGATAGCGCCAAATATGGTAAGTAGATTCAAGTGATTGGTCCACAGGTAGACCAGCTGACGCCTTTGCACCAACTTGCAGGCTTCGGAAACGTTCAAGCAACTGTCAAGGCAATCTATCAGGACCATAAATTCGTGCAATCTTCTAGCGAGGTCGACACATCAAAGCCTGTGGGTATCCTCCTAGACAAGACCAACATGTATGCCGAGCAGGGTGGTCAGTTGGCAGACACAGGTAGCATCGTGATCGATGGCCAAGCCGAATTCGTTGTGAAGGACGTGCAGGTATTCAGCGGCTACGTTTTACACAATGGCGACTTCAGCTACGGCTCGTTGAAAGTGGGCGACTCTGTCGTTGCTGGATATGACGAGCTGCGAAGGTGGCCAATACGAAACAACCACACCGGCACGCACATTCTTAATTTTGGTCTGCGAGAGGTTCTCGGGGATCATATAGACCAGCAGGGCTCTCTTGTTGCGCCTACCAAGCTGCGCTTCGACTTTTCGCACAAGGCCGGCGTCGCTGTGCCTGATCTGAAGAAGATCGAAGATATTTGCAATGAATGGGTCAAGAAGAACGTCAAAGTGTACTCCAAAGAGCTTTCTCTGGAGCTCGCGCACAAGATTCCAGGTCTCAGAGCCGTTTTTGGAGAGGCGTACCCGGATCCTGTGCGCGTCGTGTCGCTAGAGTATGATGTCAACGACATTGAGAAGGACATCGAGAACCCGAAGTGGAAGTCGACTTCGATCGAATTCTGCGGTGGCACGCACGTCAAGCAGACTGGGGACATCAAGGATCTGATCATCGTCGAGGAGAGCGGCATCGCCAAGGGCATCCGCCGGATAGTCGCCGTCACAGGCGAGGAGGCTGCGCAGGTCACCAGAGCCGCCGATGAAGCGTTCGCTGAGCTCGACACGATCGACAAAATGACCGACAAGGCAGCAAAGGACGCGAACCTCAAGACATTCGTCAACCGCATGCTGCAGCTTGAGATCAGCGCTGTGCGGAAAGCGGAGTTGCAAGACAAGTTCGCCGTCATTCGCAAGAAGCTGGACACGGAGGCAAAGGCCAAGGCTGCTGCTGAAATCAAAGTTGTCGAGGCCGGCATTAAGGACTTCTTCGCGACCGAGCAGCCCAACGCACCGTGTTTGATTCGCAAGTTCAACGTCAGCTCCAACAGCAAGGCGCTCAACGCAGGCATCGCCATCGCTCGTAAGCTCGGCAAGTCCGTCTACCTCTTCTCGCAAGAGCCAGCCATCGGCGCTGCCGTCAAGACTAAAGTTGTGCACGCCAACTTTGTCGCGAAGCATGACCTGGACAAAGGGCTCAAGGCGAAGGAATGGGCTGAAGTCATCACGAGCAGTATCGGCGGTCGCGCGGGTGGGAAGGACGAGTCTGCGCAGGGCATGGGCGAGGAGGACGCTGCTGCGCTCAATGACGTGCTGCTCGCCGCGCAGCGCTTCTACGAGATGAAGACGGTGTAGAGCAAGATGCCGCTGCTGCAGTGAAACGTAGAAACGCACCATTCAGGGCTCCGTGTGTACCAAGGGATGTAGGCAACGCAGAAGGCAAATCAATCATTAGAGCACACTCCAAAAGGCTGGATCCCTTGCCTCATTCGCCCTCGTCGCCTTCCGCCGGTTCCCTTCGGGCAAACTGCACGCCAAGGGTATGGCGATTTGTACACCCGCAATGATGCACTTCAATCATGCGGCGCTCGGTATACAGTGATCTCCTGCTGCTTGAAATATCGCCGATTCTCTTCGTCGATGAGGACCAGATCTGGAGAAGCCGCAGAGCCCCCATTATCAGTACCAACTTCCTGACAGCTAGAGTCCCAAAGGAAATGACAGAAACGTACTGAGGTAGTACCGTGTACTGAATTTCTTGTTCACGTCGCGGAACGTTGGAGTTAATTCTGTAGATAGGAGAAGCACCTCGATATGGCTTCAAGCCAGATTGCCAGTGAAATCATCATAAAAACTCACCGAAGCCACCTAGGAATAACCGTATCGGGACTAAAGTGGGATAGGCGCATGTTAGTCCACGTTGGCCATTCGCTCAACAGCATGTTTGAAGGTGCGAACAATGGACTCACTGCTCTCTCCTCGAACAGGCGCGCCGTCTAAAATCTCGAACTTTGTGATGGTTTCGCTCTCGTTGTATTGGTTCGGAGCTAATATCAAACGGAGTGCGGATCAGCTGAGGGTGTTCACTTTGACTTCTGGTTGTGTGGGGGTACGCACCTGCGCCTGTTGTCTCTCTTCGAATGACGCTCAACTCGGCATGTTTGATCTTGATGCGCACGAGCAAAAAGTAGATCTTGCCGACGATGACGTCCTTGAGATGGTACTTGCTCTTGTTGTACTCAAATTCGATGTGCAAGCAATCTTCGATGCCAACTTCCATTTTGATGGAGCTGTTGCTATCCGGTGGCATGCGGTAGCTGTGCACCCAAAGGTCCTTCTCCTTGATCACGTCTGCTAATCGCCGGGAGATGGTGACACGGATGAAGTAGCGCAACTTGACATTAATGCCGTTGTACGATTCGTACGCTTTCTCAACATTCTTGAACTCGAAATCAAAGGAGGAAGCAGCACGCATCTCCCCTGGCGAAGCCAGCTCTTGTACAAGTGAGAGGAATTCGTAGTGATTCCCTCGGTCGTAGAAGAGTTCTTTTCGATGGTTTCGCAGGCAGAAAGTCGATTATACTGTGGTCAGTCTGGGAGAGCATCGCCAGGATTTCTGGTTCTTCACTTACCGATGCTGCCGACGAATTCAATCTTTATGCCGTCATGTGCGAGCTTCTTCCCATCTCGCATGCGTACCGAGACCTGATTAAGCGCGAGCCAACCTACCACGGTCAGCTGACGATGAAAGGGTAGAAAGGCCCTGAAGTACGGATGATCTGTGCTCACGGTTCCTCTGACGCTCTCTCCATCGAAATAGACAGGACAGTTCTCGCGACGGTCCTTGTCCATCTTGATTTCCACCTGCTTGCGCTGGTCCTCTCCTTCTAGCCGGACGTCGACATCGACCGGTGAGGCAAAAGAAAAGAACGACGCCATGTTGGGTCTCCTCGACGTAAGTCCTGCAATGCGCTGCTAGAGTGATTATGCTTGTTTCCGAATCTTCCTCGCGCAAAATTCGACCTCTGAAGTATGATCAAATGAACGAACGTGGATTCTTGAGGTTGCTCCATCTACAGGCGGGCAATGTTGGGAGGAGGATGTCAAGCTGTGCGCATTGTGTACAACTACCAAGTAGTACGAGTATGGAGGTGGTGTCTGTCGTACCCGCATACTCCTCACTATGCGCACGGTGGATCGCGCGCACTCTGGCTGCACGGACCTCAGTCTGTCAAAAAGTAGGGTTGTAATTCGTCCGCTCACATATAGGCTCAAATCTCCACCAGTGGTTCTTTTTCTTCCAGTCAGGCCATCTTGGTGCAAGTCTTCGAAAGGTGCCATTTCATGTTCCCGACACAGCGCAGGGAAGAGGCATATCGAAGGTGCAAGCTCTGGGAGAACATATCAGGTGATCGGTCCAGGCGCAAAAACAGGGAAGATTCCAGCGCGACGTGCAGATGAGCACAGTCTTTTCTCGTTGCTGCGCGAGATGCTTGCGCAGCGCCGTACGTCAGCAGCGAATCGTATCGAGTGGTTATGGTAGTGATGCATTCGCTGCAGCGGCCCATCTTCCGCCTGGCTTCCTACTACCCTCAATGCTGCACACCAGCACCGCTATATGGGAAGAGAACGGATCTGTCGGATCTGGCTTTAGGATAGTGGGAGAATCGGCATCCACGCTTTCGCCTTCACCGGGCTCGAGCTCGGCTCCTAGTCCAACTGCAAATGACGCGTCATCGAGCGAGAGGTCTGGAACCAACAAGGTCGCCCAGCCACGTCAGAAATCAATCTACCCTGGCTCTAAAGCATACAAAAATGCAAAAGGACCCAAGCACGCGTTGTATACGCATACAACACGCGCCGTGGTGAATGTCAGACGCAGCTTCGAATCAACGAGTGTCGTGGACCTCGGCTCTCGTCGCTCATCTCGACAGGGCAATGAGGGCGGCAGCGAAACAGGTGCGACATCAGATCTACTTCGTCTCCGAGAGCTCAGCAAAAGTGAACTCATGGACCTCATCAGATCGGAAGCACAGAAGGACCATCTTGGCACGACGATTGCAGCATGCAACCAGCTGAAATCTATCATCGTTAGCGATGAACAGTCCGGGCTGCCTCGTTTTCTCATCGATCGGAGCGTCTACAAATCGATTTTAGAGATGTTCGGACTTCGTGGAATGGGCGATGAAGCTTACACAGTTATTGAGGACATGAAGCAAGCAGGCATCCAGCCTGATGTCCAGGATCTCGACCATGCTCTGGCAGCTGGGGCTAAAGAGGGGAACGAGGCCGTTGTGCTGAGCATTTTACGCGAGATCGGTCGTCTGTCTCAGCCTGAAACAGCCAATGATGATGGAGACTATGAAGAGGCCACATTCGAAGGTCTCATTGATATCCGTCTTGCGGAGCAGTGGACGCCAGCAACTTTTACTACGCTCTTCCGCTTCTGCACGCACAGCCGGAATTTGGAGCTGGCGCTTTCGCTCTTTGCGGTTGCGTCGCAGCTGTCAGCACAGTCACTCACCGGAGAAAAAATTGGACATTGGATCAGGCCGGAAGCACGTGGACATCTCATCAACTTGGCTGTAGAGGTCAGGGAGCTGGGGATCGCGCTGGACGTTGCACGCATGCTCGAAGATGGTCACATTGTGCAGCCTTTGATTCCGAGCACGTGGATGACTATCCTTCGAGGAAGTGCATCCGAATTCTTTGTGAGTGACAATATTTGGTGGGGAATGCCCCCTGCGTCGCCACATCTGCTGACCTTGTTACCACTTGAAAGGCGGAGGGTGTGGTCGCAGCGTGGAAGCGCGCGGTCGAGCAAGGTGGAGTCATTCCGGATGAGGGTTTGCTCTTGCAAGTACTTGCGACATGCGCCCGTGCCGGCGAGGTGACGCTCGCACTGAAGGCCTACAAAAAGCTCGAGAAAGTGCTGCACTCACAGCTCAAGCCAATGCAGGAATGGCATCTCTCACCCGTGCTCGAGGCATACTGCCATGCAGGCGAATATGCGCTCGCCATGCGTTTCATTGGCAACATGCGCCGCAAGGGAATCGCGCTCAGCTGGCATCACTCTCTTACGCTTGGAGCATCTATCGCAAACAGTGGCGATCCAGATGCTGCTCAGCAGGTGATTGCTGCAGCGAACAGGATCGGCAATGACCAGGGCGCAACGGGAGGCTTGGATGTGATTGCATTCAATGGCGTCTTGCACGCTGCAGCGCTATCCAACGACCCGAGCAAGGCCCTCACATTCTTCCACAATGCTCCGCAGCTGCGCGGCGTCCGTGAAGCAGTGCCACTGGCGACATCAACCCCCAGGATGGACTCGCCGTTCTCCCGCAGCTCTTTTCCCTTGGAGCCGAACGAAGAGAGCTACAATATGGTCCTCTCCGCGCACATCCAGCTCGGTGACCCTCGTGGTGGCCGAGCGTTCCTGCGCGAGATGCTGCGCAAGGGTCTAGCCCCAAACGCGACGACGTACGAAAAAGCCATCCTCCTCGAGCTCATCCACACTGAAGGTCTGGGTGCTGCGTTCGACTACCTCGAAGAAGCCAAGAGCAAGGAGCTCGTGCCAACGATGGGCTCGTACGAGGCGCTCATCTGGAAGTGCTACGAACTGCAAGACCCGCGCTGGAAGATGCTGCTGGTCGACATGTCCCAGGTTGGCCTCGGAAGGCCTGCCAAAAAGGTGCAGAGGTTCATCAAGGTCGACACGGAGGAGAAGTGGAAGCGGCTTCTGGAACAGGGTGGCGGCGGCGGTACGAGCTCTTCACTCTGAATGTACTTTCCATTATCTTGAAAATTGGACACTTTTCCTGAGGTCCAACGTTTGATTTGCTATACCTCAGTAAATGCTGTGTGAGCGACCACGACCAAATGTAGTTAGGGTAGCAAGATTTGGTTGCACCGAAAGAGCCCCAGCAACCCTAACTCAGTCGGCATCGGCGAATGCGCATCTGATCGACTCTCGTCACTCGTACTTGCTGTTTGCAGCATTGCTTGCTATTCTTGCTGATGTTTGCCTCACCGTGGGATCAGGCTCTTGGCCCAAGTAGCATGAGCCTGTTCACTCCCTACCCCATGGAAGAGCGGACGGTGGACAGATCGAGCTTTTTGCGCGTTAAAAGCTCGGTTTCCAAGAAGATGGCCGGTTACAGACGGTAAGTAATCGCCATTCATCTCGCTCAAACAGGCACCCTTGGTCAAAACTATTCCACTCCTGGCGCCAGGATGCTCGTCGCAGCACGGCCTGTGGGCCGCAGACACAGGCTATGGAGTAAGCTGGCACTGCCATGGGCGTCATCAATAGGTGCTTCTAGAATGATTTCGTCTGTGGGTGCGTCATGCGCGGCTTACGAGCCTGGTGGACAGCGAGCAGCCCCCGCGGCGCTGCTAACGTCGTCCCGAAGGATGCCTTCGGCGACGCCGTTCCACTCCTCTCTGCCTGCAAAGCCAGTATTTTCAACACTGTCCCCTGCTGCATCATCGCTTGCCTCATCGCAAATAAAGCCGCCAGAGAGCGCAAGTGCGATCTTTGGAGTGCCTAAGATGCCGAGCAAGGAAACGGTCGCATCGATCTCGAGTCTACCTCCGAATTTTCGTGCCCGCAACCTCCTGCAACAAACAGCGCGCATCTTTTCGGTAACATCTGCCCCATCTCCATCGCTCCATTTTTTCAGTACGACTGGAGAATCGGGTCCTGATCCAACAATATCCAGCAGCAGTGCCAATTGTGCGCTCGCTACCGCCAAGCTGTTCAGCCCTGGCGAGAGTGCGCATTGGGTATCCAGGTTAGAGAAAGCTGAACAGCGGCTTCGAGAAATGGATGACACTCAGGCTGCAGCCAGGCCTGCAAAGAGAAGGAGGATCGCCATCGTTGGTGCTAGCACAGCTGGTACGGCTGACCTCTTCACTGCGCTGCTCGATGAACCGATCGAACAACTTCAGCTTGGTGGGCAACGGGAGCCGGACTCCACCGACACGCCCCAGCGGATGGCAATGAATTATGGCGAAAAGGTGACGCTTTTCACTTCTGAGGGATCGCCAATGTTGCCTCCCGATACAGAAGCAGACGACAGCAAGATGGAGAGTATCACGCTACCGACTCTCTCCTGGCTGCGCAACGCGAATGTAGAAATTCTGCGCGTCCTTGATCCGTCTCCCTCACAAGATCTCTTAGACACCCTGTACGCTACCGATGCGATCTTCTTTTTTGCGGACACATACGGGCTCGCCATGACGTCTCAACTCCGACGCGAATCGATCAATCCGGGTAGGGCTCCTTTCGATGCAAGGAAGACGTCCTCTTCTGCAGCAGCATCTTCGACAACAACTACAACGCTCTCTCTCATCTCGTACTTTGCTAGCAAGCCAGGTACCAGATTGATCATCAACAATCTTGGCTCCAACAGCAATAGCGGCGGAGGTGCACAAAGTGCAGCGACCTCTTCCACCGCGTCCATCTCAGCTGTGCTCGAAGGTGCCATCGGCAGTGCCGCATTTCAACGCCTCACGCAGCAATGCGCTGACACGAGCTCTAGAACAAGGAGAGAAAGTATCGATGCTCTGAATTCAGTCCCACCTTTCTTTGCAATATCGACTCCAATGGCATTGCGCGCCAACTCTGCGCTCCGTCAGGCGCTCGCCGCAGGCCATGCTTCCGAACGAGAGAGGTCAGGGAACCCGTGGGATACATTTGCGACGCTTTACAACGCATCGGGACTCGGTTCTATCAAAGAACTCATCACGCATCCACTGCTGAGTTTGAGTGTGAGCGGCATTGCACGATCTTCCTTTGACTCATCGGTCCCAAGCGACAACTCTGCAGCAGACGCTGCACAGTCCGCACTGCAGGCGGCGCTCTTCACAGCGCAGCATGCTAGGGACGAGGTACGCTCCGCTATCGCTGAAGCTTACGAGGAAGTTCGCACAGCAGAAGGCGCCGCGACTATGCTTGAGCGCGAAGCTCAAGCGCAGATGGCAGAGCTTGCCGAACGTATTCTTGGAGAGAGCAATGCGGCTGCACCAGTGATGTGGCAGGAAATCGAAGACGGGAAAGGCGAAGGCCACAAGAGAGGTCTGCACGGAGGGACAAATGTGGGAGTAAGGCGAAGAGCCGGTGATCGCTCATCGCAACCAAGCGGTGTGCTGGCCGATTCGCAAGGCAGGATTGAACACATCCTCAGCCGGCGCCTGCAGTGGTGGAAGATGCCGGTCAAAGTCGACGATATCCGAGCTGAGCTTGAAGGTGCCGTTCAGGGCAGCTTTGCGAAAGATGCTGAGGTGCAGCTCACCTTCGAGGCTGGGCGTCTGCTCAGCAGTGCAGCCGAGCAAGAGCACAAGACGACGCAGGTATTGAACAGCCTCGTCTCGAGGCAGCATGCGGTTGCGGTCGGACCCGCCAATGACTTCACAGGAACGATTGGCCAAGGATCTGGACATGCTCGATCCTCCAACTTTGATTCGGCGATTTTGCGCAACGAACTTAGCAATCATTCTCTCGCAAAAGCATCGCACTTGCTCTCGGTCGACAGTCTCTCGCATCCAATCTCTCGACGGCGGCAGCAGCTCCTTGCGCCCGGTGGGCCGATCGATCTACTTGCTTTGCGGGGGCAAACGAGCGTCTTCAAGGCCTATGCGTGGACGTGCGCAAGCACGCTTGTAGCGACATATGGCGTCGTTCTCGGACCGCTTCTCGAGGGCCAGTTGCCAGCGATACTTCAAATCCTCACGCTGCAGCCGAGCACAGGCGCCAGCCTTGTGGCATTGACGACTGCTTTTGCGGCATTCAGGCTGCAAGGGTCGTGGGGGAAAGCGAAGAAGAGGTTCTGGAGAGACTGGGACAGCCTGACTCGGTTGCTAGATTACGATCTCGAGGTGAGCATATTGGCATTCGCATATGTGACAAGTGTTTCATTTTGTTAATGGTGCACGCACAACAACTTCAGGACAATCTACGCTATATCTTGACTGAGCGAATCTTTGCTCAGCCCATGGTTGCATCACGCGGTCTGAGACACCTTGCAGACAAGCGCAAGCTTGCATTGGATTCTGCCTTGCGCACGTCCGAAGCTCTTGAGCAAGACGCCCAAGAGTCTGGGCTGTACCCACGCCCTTCAAGTGCGACGGACAAATCAATTTAGAATATCATGTTTTGCAACATGTGCGGACCACTCAGCGGAAGATAGCGTCCGAAGTTTTGACCACGTCCACCATCTCTTCCACGTCGTGCACGCGCAGAATGTCCACTCCGTTGGCGATCGCTGCTGTGCAGGCTGCTGCGGTACCGTAGACTCGCTCTTTCGGCTCCTTGCGACCCGTAATGGAGCCGATGAAGCGCTTCCGACTGGGTCCCGCGAGCATCGGGAAACCGGCAAGCGTCGAGTTGGGTGTGATCAGATCAGCCGTCCCATCGATTTCTGGTCGGGGTGTGAGGTGCGGAGATGCCTGTGCCGACGTGAGCGCCAACTGACTCAGCGATGAGTGAGACGCTCGAGAAGTCAGACCACTTCTTGAAGATCGGACTTCACTAGTCCGGGAGCCGGGTGCGGTCGCCGTGAGGGCGGAGAGGTTGCGAAGGATTTGGAGGTTGCCCTCCTGACATTTGGCGAATCCAAGGCCGGGATCGAGAATAATATTCCATCGTCGGACGCCAGCCCGCAACGCGCGATCGACTCGTTGTTGTAGTTCTGCCTTGACACCAGCGATCACATCTCCACCTGCGTAAGAGGTCATCTTCTCCATCGTTTGGCTGTCGCCGCGCATGTGCATGCAGATGAACGGAACAGCTGCGTCGCGTGCCACCTTCAGAATTGCGGGGTCGCGCTCTCCTCCACTGACATCGTTAATGATATTCGCGCCTGCTTGTAGTGCCGCTGAGGCGACGCCGGCACGGAAAGTGTCAATGGAAATGGGTTGCGTGATGCCGGCTGCACGTAAGGATTGAATAAGAGGTGCAGTGCGTCTGACTTCCTCGGCTTCGTCGACCTCTTCAGCGTGTGGAGCTGTGCTCATGCCGCCGACATCGAGAATATCAACACCCTGCTCGACCATCCGCATTGCCGACCGGATTGCAGGCTCTGCATTGAGATTGTCACCGCCGTCTGAAAACGAGTCGGGGGTCGCATTGATGATACCCATCACATAGGTGCGGCTTCCCCACGAAAGCGTGGAGGTGGATGCCTCTGTCGGCACAAAGGTCACTTTCCGTATCCCGTGACCCCCTTCATAGTCCGGCGAATTTTGAAGAATTGAGAGCAATTGAGCGACCGTCCTTGAGGCAGAAGGGTGCTCAAAGTTGGGCAGGATGTCAGCCAGTGGGCGCAAGACGAACTCGCGTTCCTTCATGAGAGGGTGTGGAATGGTGAGGCGGGGTCCATCGTCAACTTCGGCCCTGTCGTAAAATAAGATGTCAAGATCAACGAGGCGGGGGCCCTTATCCGGGACGCCAGCCTTGTCACGGCCAATGGCGGTTTCGATCGACTGAGTGAGCGTCAGGAGATCATGAGGCGCCAGCTTGGTAGCGATGCGGCAGGCTCCGTTCAGGAATGTGGGTTGATCTGTGACGTACATCGGAGGCGTCTCGTACAAGAAGCTGGTATCGACAACCTTGCATGAATCATGAGCAGAAAGAAGTCGGACAGCCTTTTCGATGTTCTGAATACGATCGCCGAGGTTGGATCCTAGCGCAATAGCAGCAAGATGCCATCCGTCCCCTTCCAAGACGTTCGCAACGGGACTCGAAGCCGATGCGCCTTCGAGAGACCGAGGTTCCACGGTGGGCAGACCCAGACTGCTTTTGGAGACTGTGTCAAGGTGCGAATCTGCGGCTGCCAGCAGCGCTTCTTCTTCAAAGAATGCTCGATCTCGCTCGATCTCGACGCCTGCACTCGCAGCGAACATGATTGCCGATGGCTTGGCGACGCTGACTCGGATTCTGTCGACCTTATTCTGCTGAATAGCAACGCGAGCGATGGACGTCGCAAGAGATTCAACCGTTTTGTATGAGGAAGCCTCGACATATTCGGAGATGCTGCGGACGATCGTGCGATAGTTGTGCGGACGAGAGACAATGTCGCGTGTCTTCGAAGCATGCGTAGACGCCTCTTGACCGGGTACAGCAGCTGCGGCTTGACGCAAGCGCTCTGAGCCGGAGAAGATGGTAAGGTTTAGCTTGATGTTTTGCTTATCGAACCGCTCCCAAGGATTGACGCCCACGATGGTGTTAACAATCAGATCTCGCACGAATACCTTATCGTGGACAACCCACTTTGACCGAGGCGAAAGTCTTAGCTGCGAGAGCGCCGTGGACGGTCTACTTGCAGATCCAGCAGAGCTGGACGTTGCCAGATCTAATGCTGCTGAGTCGACGGAAGTGCCGTCTCCATTGACGAAGTCATCGGCCGTACGAACGACCTCAACTCCAGCCGAATGCGCATGGAGCAGACAGCGGGGTTTTTGAACCCGTAGCGTCACGCGAGGTGCATGACAGATGAAGAGGCAGACTTTGGCGAGTCCATCCTGGTGGGGGGTCATGTCAGCGATACTCGCAGCACAGAAAAAATCATCATGGCCAGCTCACAGCTAATGCTTCTAATGACCGATAGCGCGAATTTGAGCAGTGCTTCTCCAATTCCTTCGTCAGGATGCCATAGTGAATGCTGTGAGGCAGATGGTCGCTCTTTCCGGCCTTACAAACATCCGTGTGAACATAAGCGTCGATCAGAACGGGTTGAGGAGAAGCCCGCTCCCAGTTGTCCACTCCAACATGCATGCGAACCTCTAGCTGGGAGAGGACGATCAGATCGGGCAGGGTACCATCTCTCGCAGCAAGGAAGTTCCCGCTGCTTGCAGGGGCCGCCATGGCCATGAAATACCGGTAATGATAACTCTCGGGAGATGTGGAAGCTTGAAAGAGTGGGAAGCCAATTTGCGAAGTCCGAACGCTGGCAGCGGTTGAAAACGAAAGAGGTCGAGCCAATCTAAGCAAAGTGCGATGCATGCTAACGCTGGCGGCTGACTAGCATCGTCGGTGATGATGTGTGAACCAGTCCGCAACGAGCAAAGCCAGAGATGGAACTATGGAAGGGCGATGGTGTGCTACACGGAAGCCTGTATGAGGTATGAGAGCATATGTCAAAACCGAAATCTTTCGAAGGCCGCTTTACCGACAGCAACCACGCTCAACAGGATAATCTGAGACCCACAACATAAACGCTGCGCTGAGAGTGCAATCTATAAAATGAAACAGTGTCATTCTGGATATCAAATCATCCATCGAAGGACCAAGATTCTAGCCATCGGTGACGGTCTCGTGCCATGGTGATCGGTCTTTGATCATCCTCGATCAAACAGTGGGCCGCGAAATCGCTTGCAGTCTTTTTTCGCCCTGAGCAAGCCCTCGAAAAAAGGTAAGCATTGGGTTTGTCTATATATGCGTGTGGTCTGGCAAGGGGACAGATTACTGTTACATATTAATGGTAATGAAGGGTGCAATGCAGCGGGATGCTAATATTAGGCTTTTTGCAAAGCGAGACTGTCGAAGAAGAGAGAGAACCGGTCTTGCTGGGGAGGCGCAGTGGCGTCTAACGCGGCTAGCGTTGCCTGCGTCAAGCTAGACCTGATCTGCATAGTAGAATGAATCGCGCGCAAGGCCGCTCGGATGATGGTGAGCGTGATGTTTAAGTAGCTGCAATTGAGGCCGATGCAGAAGCGTTTGACAAATTGTACTCCTTCTGGCAGGAACGCGTCGTGTCCTGGACCTATCGCTTGCGGACGCATACACGCCGCCAAGCCTGCCCAGTCCTGGAGCTCTTGAAAGTAGCGAGCGGCGAGCTGCTCGATCATGAGCTTGCGACTGATGCTTACTTCCACCTCAGCATGCATTGCAACGGCTCGTAGTGACGAAGCGCACACCTCGTTCACGCGGAAGGACAGGCTGATCATGTCTACGAAAAAGGTGAGAGCTTCGCTGGAGGTGTGCCCGCCTTCCTCGAAAGTTTCACCGGGCATAGTCTGTGGCCAAGCTGTAGAGCGTAAATTGAGGGCATATTCAGTTGTGGAGGCCTCCGCGTCGCTAGTCGCCCCGGTCGCAACTTACGAAGTGTTTTCAGCTCGTGATCCTGTAGAAGATCGGGGTGTGTCCATTTCACTCCGGTCCACAATATCACAATCACTTTGGCCTGCAGCGTGCGCCTGAAGAGAAATAGATGAGAAAAACAGAATCAGAAGGACGGAGGACGTGCGCTGCGCGCATACGAAAGTTGACGCACCAGGCTTGTCGATGGAGGCATTCTCGCTCAATCTGTGTGAGGCCAGGCGGCATGCGAACTGGCTGGAAGGCGCCAAGTCGCCGCAAAAGCGGCGTAAGCGTCATGGCGTACCTTGTGACCCTCTGCATCTGGCCAAGCGTGCCTCGTGTCGTCCAGAGCAAACAAGCCGAGACGAGGTCGGGCGTGCACTCTTCGTCGTCATGCACGATGTGCCTTGGCATGCTGAGAGCCCACGCCAGTTGGGCTGCCGCATGCCCCAACTCCCAGAGTGCACATCGAGTCGATGCTCCCAATGCTGAACCAGTCACAATATCGAGGCCAGGGTGGGTCCAGCTGCCTTGCATGACGAGACCGAAGATGATCGCCTGCTTGTGCCGGATGGACATTGGACTCCAGTTCGTAGGGCGACCGCGCGCGATATGACAGAGGTCTTGGTACATCTCCATGACCTGGCCTACCTGCACGACCATCGCGGCTTGATGGTGGTATTCGACGTACTCTGCGAGCAGCGGGGGAATGGCCGGGTGCAACAGCATACGGCCGGCGCGAGCGCGTAGCGCGTCAAAGTCGGACTCGTCGAACACGTATTTGGGATAATAAACGCCGTCCGTAATGTCCCAGTTGACGAAGTTCGCCCAGTCAGGCGAGACGATCACGTTGCCAGGCCCTACCATTTCGAAATCACGCCGCTGGCACTCGAGCATGGAGCCAAAGTAGTCCTGCACGCGATGTACCTGCAGGAGCCCATTTTCGTCTAGCACCAGCGTAGCAGGAGAGCCCTCCTGGATAATTCCCTGGAGTCCTTCAAATGTGCGACCGAGTGCAATGGCCTCGTCACATGCGCCGGCGGTCAGTTTGAGGCTGGTGAAGCCGGCGGTGCACGCATCGAGCAAGTCGAGCAGAACCTGTCGACTTGCGACCGGCGCCTTTAGACGTTCGTCGTCCCGATCTGACCGCTGATTCTGTTGCAATGTCGGCAAGGGCCCAGAGTTGGACAGTGAGCTCTCGGATCGAGGGCGCGTGTTGAACGCCAGGGATGACATCGAGTCGCGGGTGCAGTTGGAGAGACGCATGCTTCCAGTCAGGTTGCTCGTCGTCAGCGGCGGCATTACAGGCGGGGGACTGCCCATGCCAGCGGATGGGGTGTTGGTGCTTGTAACTTCCGTGGGGTAGGCGATGGTGCCCTCCCGGGCGACAGAGATGATGGGTGCGAGCGATACATTTGATTCAAATTGACCTAGCTTGGGCGCGTAGGAGGGAAGCGCGTCAGAAGCAGCTGTCGACGTCGACACCGATGAGGATAACGTTGACGGATACTGGGCTTCGACCACTTTGAGTTGCAGATCCCACGGCATGCTGCCACCACCGTCGACAGCAGCGTTGCTGGTAGAGTCAACTGGAGCGGGTTCGCGCAGCTCGCTGCTTTCCTCTGCAGCGCTGCTGAGGCTCCAAAGCATCATTTCGATCGGGGGCAGCGGCGCATCGATCAGCTGATCCTGTCCGATACCCGAGCCTTGCTCTGAGCCGTGGCCATTGCTGATGAACGTGGATAAATGTTGAGGCTTCCGGCCCACCCGGTGGTCAAAGAATGTCATGTCAGTCCCATCGGAGACGATGTCCAACCAGATTCCGTTCGCATCCTGTGTCTGTGAGGCCGTGGCAGGGTACGCAGCAGCTTGATTGGCTGGTGCAGGCACTTGCATCGGTATTGGTTCAGCACGAGCGGCGGCGGTAGCAGCGCTCTCAGATACCTGACTGATGGCAGAGCCTTGATAAGCAGAAGTGTCGTATGAGCTGTATGCGGCATTTTCGAACGGCACAAAGCCTTGCAGGAGTGCAATGTTGTCGGATCCCGGCGCCGAAGAAGGCCTTGAGCTGAAGGACGCAGATGACGTCGTAGCAGGGCTTTGCGTGAAGGATCGCCGAGCGTCCACACCAGCATTTTTGGGTTCTGTGTCTTTGCCTGCCCCTGGCTCTGACTCGATTTCGAGTTTGGCTCGTGTCTTGCCAATCGCACCTTTATTAACTTCTTGTAATGGTCCTCCTCGGAGTGCCGACGCAGCGGCTGACGTTGCCGTTTTTTCATGGCATGACATCTGCTTGAGCAATTTGCGCTCTTTTCGCCTCTGCCTCTCAGTCTGATAGACAATTCCAGCCACCTTGAACGCCTCGCGCTCCTCGCGCTTCGGCGGCCCGCGACGCATAAGCACATCGTCGTGAGTGCATTTAAGCGACAGCTCGACGCACCGCCCGCAGTGTGGCTGTGCTCGGTCACACTGAGAAAAGGAGGGGGGAGGCGAGGCATGTGTGTGAGTACTGCGCGTCAGTTGAAATCAGGTCTACGGCAGCAATGATGGGACATACCTTGACCCGTCTGCGCCTGCATGCATCACATGGGCGGGCGCCTTCTTCTTGACTCCGCTGCGCTCGCAGCTGACGTAAGAGAGCGGATGAAGGGTCAGAGGGTGTACCTTGCAAGCTCAGCGGCAACTGCTCCGACCTCGTCGTTTGCGGCTCTGCGTCAGAGATCGTTGAGTAGGCTGTTAATGGCGAACTGTCGACTTGAGCGCTGGAGCTCAAAAGGGTGGAAAGGTCTCGTTTGAAGGTAAACTTCTTTGGCGTCGGCCAGCGTTGGGCAGCTCGTGCGCTTCCTACATCTTCTACTGCGTACGGGACGCCGCTGCCATTAAGCACCGCCACGTTGGGAGCAGCAAGCGTCATTGGCACGCGTGCAGCTGAACACGAGCGTCTCGCCCGACTTTGTGGATGGGTTTCCGATCAGCTCGTCGAACGTTTCACAGATACAGAGGCGATAAGGCGTGAAGGCACTTGGACCTTGATGTCGACAGGCCGCGAGAAGTGGTGCAGCAGGAAGGAAGCCAGGCGAGCCGCTGCCACCTACCCAGCAGTCGAGGGTGGATCAGCCCGCCGGTCTTCGTTGTGGGGGGTATAAAGTAAAGAAATATTTAGGTGCGCAGGGCAGGTTGGTGAACAGCTTTGATGAGAGGGAGATTAAAGTATGCGCTCCAACATGGGGCGTGTGAAATGCTGTAGAAGATGGCGATGGACGTCGGCTGCCTCGCCATTGGCATCGCTACCTTGTTAACGTGCTAATTCAAGCATGGCATGCGCTTGGCGTCCAGCTGCATCGACTACCGTCTCTCGACTGGCATCGCTATTTCGAGGGCCGGTAGTAGCAAGGCCCCAGTCGTCGTTGCTTGCTGCAGCCTTTGGCAATGCATGTCCGCATGAGCATGATAAGCTGGATGGATCACACTTCGCAGGGGTCGGCGCCTGTGTCCAACCCCAGGATGGTAATATCGAGCTTGGGACTCTGAAGCAGACGGCCGACTGGGCAATGGATTGATTTCTTTCTTTTCAAAATTTCCCTTGACCAATTCCACCTCAGAGCCAGGCACTAGGCAACACTTTAGATATCGAGAGTGCACTCATTGCGCCACAGTCTCTGTCTCCAGCGACCAGCAACCAGTTACCTCAGGTTACTCCAAGACAACAGTGAAACAATTTTTGACGGGCTGGATCGAATGTACTCTACCGCACTCACAGTTCAAACACCGTATTGGTCGTCTGGGCTCTGGACCAAAGTATCAGCAGTCTCCTCAGTTTGCTGGGGGTCTGGGACCCTTGTATGCAGTTATCGCATGCGGCACAAATCAGAGGCAAACGAAATAATTAATACAAACTTGCCCTCCCAGGCTGTCCTGCGCCACTCTCGAGCTGGTCGGCGGTCGCAAGTCGCCGGGCCTCAGCCAAACTAAGGCCTCGTCCGTGGGCAACGAACCAAGCTATGGAACTACTATAGGTACACCCAACGCATCAGGCTTGTTGCACCGAATCTGGTATGCTCCGCCGCGGCCTTTCTTGGGCACGGCAAGGCTGATGGATGAGTGAGGAGCAATGAGATCATAAGAGGCAGGCGCGGTGCCTGTGCGGAAGCCTCCGGAAGGTCGCACATCTTGGAAAGTCCGACCAACGAGGCCAAGAGGTCGGGGGGAGCCGGGTTGCGCATGTAGTGCATGCTTACCCGCCAACAACCGTACAACTTGTCCTTGTGGCAGCGGGGCCAGAGGCATAGACTACACCCGGCTGCTAGAGCTTGCCCCATTCGGATGTGTCGTTGACAGCTCGTTCGGCTGCTTGCCGATGAGTGCATGTCATCTAACCAAACATAGTAGGCCTACGACCTCTCTCTCTCTCTCTCTTCGTCCTTTCGTGCGTTGGTGTAACGTGCGGAGTGAAAAGACTGATTCTTCGTGCGTCGATGTACCTTCTGCAGTGTAATGTACACATACACCAAGCCGGTTGCCTGCTCTCACCGCTCGGAAGATTGCGGGTGCGGCTCGCCGATCGTCGCATTGTGAGATCTCGGTTGTGTGTGTCTCAGTGCATCATGCTGCTTGTAGATTGGCTTCAAATGCAAGGCATGCACCTGGTGGGATCAATCTATAATATATATATATATATCAACATCTGGAAGTTACCCAAGCAACGTCATGCAGCATGCATTCTTGACTTTTGACAAGATCTCCGGCCAGCCCGCAAATAGACTCCATAGGCACGAGGTGAGTACTGCAGATTGTGCCTTGCTCGTTCGCGGTTCTCTCCTTTGCATGCTCGTTGCCATCCATCAATGCTCTAATCGTTGGACTGGCCACTCTTCCATGTTATAATGTGGATGAGCGGGTACTGGGAGGGGTTGGAGTGGGGTGGGGAGGGCCTTCCGAACTGTGTTGATATCTCTAGACGCGTCTGATGAGTGGGTGGCGGGATCTCGGAAAAAGAGGCAGGATGCGACTGTGCCAGTGCCAGGACTGCCCTCAGCACCATGCGGGTCGACTCGGGTCCACCCTCCGATCGGCTACCCGAACCCCGCACACCTGTTCCTTCCCCCTTCCCCCTCCTTTATATACCCCGTCGGTCCCCTCCCCTTCAGACTCTTCTTGCTGACCCATCTCCCTCACATCTTTCTTCTCTAGTATCCACAACTGCTGCATTATTCGAAACAGTAGAAGGGTCCAAGTAGAACGAGATGACGTCCCCTGGCAACCACCACGATGACCTGTGAGTGCAACGGCGAGCGATGCCTTTTGTGAACACCACCCTTTTCGGGAGGACCCCGCTGATAGCCTATGCCATGTCTCTTTGCACATGCTCAGTCCCACTCACAACCCCGAGTACCACCTGCTCGGCAGGGAGCTCGACCTGTTTTCACAGGCCGGGTTCGACATGGACAAGATCCACTTGAAACGCAATGCATCTGTCGCAGAGCTCTACGAAGAGGCCATCACCAAGGAGGGCGCCATCATCTCTAGCAACGGCGCATTGATCAATTTTTCTGGAAAGAAGACGGGTCGTAGCCCAAAGGACAAGCGCATTGTCTACGAGGAAACCTCTAAAGATGACGTTTGGGTGCGTGTCCACGATGGCTTTTTCAACCGGATTAGGACCTTACTGAAGCACTCCTTGGCTCGCAACATCTGCAGTGGGGCCCTGTCAACATCAAGATGGACGAGCACACCTTCGAAATCAACCGTGAGCGTGCTATCGACTACCTCAACACCAGGTGAGCGGCGAGAAGTCTCTCTGAAGATGATAATTCGGGATGCAGCTACTGACACTGTCGCCATGGTTTACAGGGAGGACATCTATGTCTTTGACGGCTTTGCAGGCTGGGACCCCAAGTACCGCATCAAAGTCCGTGTCATCTGTGCCCGTGCCTACCATGCGCTCTTCATGCACAACATGCTCATCCGCCCGACGCGCGAGGAACTGGAGAACTTTGGCCAGCCAGACTTTATCATCTACAACGCCGGTCAGTTCCCTGCCAACCGTTTCACCGCCGGCATGACATCAACGACCAGTGTCGAGATCAACTTCAAGCGCCACGAGATGGTCATCCTCGGTACCGAGTACGCTGGCGAGATGAAGAAGGGTATCTTTTCGGTCATGCACTACCTGCAGCCCATCAAGTTTGGCCAGCTGTCGCTGCACTCGTCGTGCAACCAGGGTCCTAAGGGCGACGTCACGCTCTTCTTCGGTCTCTCGGGTACAGGCAAGACAACGCTGTCTGCGGACCCGAACAGGAGCCTGATTGGCGACGACGAGCACGTCTGGTCGGACACGGGTGTCTTCAACATCGAGGGCGGCTGTTACGCCAAGACGATCGGCCTGTCGGCAGAAAAGGAGCCCGAGATCTTCAGTGCGATTCGCTTTGGCTCGATCCTGGAGAATGTGTCGTACGACAAGAATACGCGCGTACCGGACTACGATGACGCGCACCTAACGGAGAACACACGCTGCGCGTACCCGATCGAGTACATTCCCAACGCCAAGATCCCGTGCATCGCTGACGCGCCCCCAAGCAACATTATCATGCTGACGTGCGACGCATACGGAGTGCTGCCGCCGGTGTCGAAGCTGACGGAGGAGCAGGCGCAATACCACTTTATCGCCGGCTACACATCCAAGACGCCTGGGACAGAGGACGGGATCGTGGAGCCGTCGCCGACGTTCTCGACATGCTATGGGCAGCCTTTCATTGTGTTGCACCCGCGGCGCTACGCTGAGATGCTGGCGAAGCGCATGGCGCAGCACAAGTCGGACTGCTGGCTGATCAACACGGGCTGGACTGGCGGCAAGTTTGGGACGGGCAAGCGGTGTCCGCTCAAGTACACGCGCGCGATCATCGACGCGATTCACGACGGCTCGCTGGCGCAGGCCGAGTACGAGACCTTTGGGACGTTCAACCTACAGGTGCCCAAGGGGGTGAACGGGGTGCCGAGCAATGTGCTGAACCCGCGCAATGCGTGGCCGGACAAGGCTGCGTTCGACGTCGAGGTCAAGAAGCTGGGCGGTATGTTCACCGAGGCGTTCCAGAAGTACGCAAAGGAGGTCGACCCGAAGGTGCTCGCTGCTGGCCCTCAGGTTTGAGTCGGTCATCGCGCGCCATCCTCCGCCCGTGCAACCACTGGGTACGCCGCCATCCCTCGGGGAGCTAGTAACGCCACCACTTGTCTAGTTCGTGCGCCTGTTCCAGTTTCCCCACCGACAGACGCAGAGGAGTGCTAGATCGCATGCGATTGCGTTGAGTCGGGGGTGTGGATGTGGAAGCCGAACGGGGGAGTCTGTCTCCTGATTTTGTCTGTGTACAGTACATTTATACGTCCCCTCCACATTGGCTTTCGAATGGATGCACGATGGATCAGATCTGCATGTCTCCGTACCGGCGTGCGTGCCTATTATCTCTACAATGCCGGATCGCACTCGGCAGTAGATATTTCTGAAAGAGTGCCTGCCCGAGCAACAGCAGTGCACTGCCAGTCGGACACATGACCCGACATGCCGCACGACACCCAGCACATTTATCGCGCGCAGCATGCGTCCCGGTCCACATATGTGGTGGTTGCCGGGGAGTGTGACTGTGCAGGGCAGAGCATCGGATGACCGAGTAACAACGTCGTTGTCGTTGCCGACAAGCTGTGGTGTACGTGCATGAGATAGGAGAAACGTGCGCGCGTGGATCTTATCGCCGCCCAGCCGGCGGCTGTGTGACTGGATGTGTATCGGGCACTGCACCAGTCAACAGCAATCACCACGACTTTACAAACCATCTCACCGAGTCGTCATTGATGCTCGTCGTCGTCTGAAAACGCCAGCCCGCCAGCCAGCTTGATGTCGCCTCGCCCTGGCCCTGCGCCCCATTGCAAGTCCTGAAAGCCAAGCAGAAGCCTGTGTGGCCCTAATCATCGCCCCTTCTCCATTGTTCAGCGCTCACTCGCTCGCTCGCCCGCTCGCCTCACCCTCGTTGCAGTGGTTCTGAAGGCGGCGCGCCTGCTACACACAGCCTGTCGAACATGGCCGCTGCCCCCGCCATGCGCCCGCTTAGGCGCGGTGTAGGTATCGGCGGAGGTCACGGCTGGCTCTCTATGGCCCCCCCCGTCGAGCACGAACACGAGGCCACACCGGCGCCTTCATCTCATCCCGCCGACTCTGCTGCGTCGTCTGCACCAGCAGCAGATGATAATGATAATGCTGCAGCGGCCCATCAAGCGGCGTCCGCCTCCCATGTCGCACCAATGGCACTTCCGGCATCATGCGGCGACTACAACTGCGACTGCTCCATGAGCAGCGGCAGTAAGAGGCATATGGATGCAGCACACAGCTTTCCAAAACGCGCCGCGTCATGTTCCCGCTCCCACTCACCTCCTCATGCTCACTCGTGCTCCAGAACCTCTAGCAGCTTTGATAGTGACGACGACGAAGCGGCGCGCAAGCCGTTCGACTTTCGCGCCTCCATGGTGCCGATGGCTTTTGGCAAGGTAAAAAACACGGCGGCGGCGGCTGCTGCTGGGCTAGATCAGCGGAAAAGCAAGCAGCAGTTTCACGAAGTTGCAGCACAACAGCTCGGCCCATGTGCACTTACAAGCGTAGGCGCAGAAGCAAACGCAAACGCGCCGACTCGGCGTGCCAAGCGGCATCAATGCCAGCACCAGCACGAGCGCGCGGCCAGCGCGGCACCTTGCGAGGGGCGGTCGCACGCAGCACATCGCGATCAAGAAGTTCTGCTGTGCGCCATGGGCCAGAGCTCGGGCGGAGCGGGCTCCGTGCACTCGCGCTCGCGCTCCAGCTCCATGCTGCGCGCGTGCAGCAACAGCAGTATTACTAGTAGTAGCAGCGTGGCGCATGTGCAACACCAACACCTTCACCTGCAGCCGCCTCGAGCGAGAGACCACAGCAGTGTGTCTGCCGCGCCGTTCGTGAAGAACCGTACCCGCTCCTCCTCGTCCTCCCCATCTCCGCGCCCACGCTCGCGCGTCGCGTCCAGCCCAGGCGGGACGCGTCACGTCGTCAACGGCGGCGGGGGGCTGCGACACGGCGGCGTTGAGTGGAGCGGCAAGACGCTGCACGCCGTCGAGCTTGAAATGGAGCGCCTCGGCCGTGCAGAGTGGATGACGCACGCGCCTGACCCAGTCTACCTTGCCAGTCGCCTCGAGGCCGTCCGACGGAATTTGGAGGTCGAGCAGAGGGAGCTCGAAGAGGAGCAGCAGGAGCTGGGGCTTGATGAGGCGCAGCGCGAGGGCCACAAGAGTCGCAAGTGGCTTCGCAAGCGTTGGCTCAGCTGGAGCGAAGAAGATGAGGATGAGGAAGATGAGAAGGAGGCCAGAGCAAACGAACACAAAGGCGCTGTGCGAGATCATCATGCACCCAATCAGTCCGTGCAAGATGCAGAACCTGCTACTGCTTCTGCTGCTACCACTACTGTGGCCGCAGAAGCGCTACCGCTGCAGAAGCAAACAGCCGTTCCACGGGAACTTCATCAGGCTGTTGGCATGTCTCCGCCTGCACAAACGATTGCATTCTTGCCCGCCATACACATCCCCTCGCACCCCGCATCACCCAACCGGGCCTCTGATGTGAATTGCGGCTCGGACTCCTACTCCGACTCGTCAGCCTCAGTCGCCATCACGCCTCCCAACTACGGCCTCTGTCCGCCGCTGCTCCTGCGGCCGCCGACGCTGCTCGGGACGCCAGCGCTGGTGTCGCTCGCCGCGTCCAGTGCAGTCGCAGGCGCAGACGTTCCGCCGCTGCCGCCCAAGGAGACGTCGTGCGCGCCGCCGCCAACGCAGGTCGATGCGGTGCTTTCGCTGTTAGACGCGGCACAGAGGCGCGCGGCGCTCGCCGCCGTGTGTGCCGACACGGCGCACGCATCCGCCGACCTGGAGCGGCTACGCCTCTCGCTCGCGCTCCTTCCGCCGATCGACCACGCTAGTCAGATGCAGGCACTCGAGCAGCGCGTCGATGTACGTAATATCAAGCGCACCGACCTCGAGCAAGTGCGCGATCTCCATTGCCTGCATGGCGACGAGCGGCTGCTGGGCATGGAAGACGGTGACGACATGGTGCGTCGTCCCTCCCGCCCTTTGTGTTACTCTTCGCTCGCCACCCCGTGCTTTCCGTACTGATTCACACGCCTCGCTCTCGCCTCTTCACAGATGGGACGCAACCTCGACACATACACCACCTCCGCAACCTTCCTCCTGCGCCTGCTCGTCGACGAGAACTACATCGCCGTCGTCGCCGTCGCCAAACCGCTACCCGAGCCTCCTGCGCTGCCAGCCACGGCCGCAACCACGCGGGAGTGGTCAATCCCGCAAGCCGACCCTGACTCCCCGCCCGGGCCCAGACTTTCTTCTGAACCCGATTTCAGGCCCTCTTCTCGTTCGGACAGGCTGCGTAAGCGCGACCGCTCGTGCGAGACCCAGCGTACGGAATCGTTCACCAACATCGCTGTTCGTGCCCCGCCGCTAGCTGTGCAGGCCGATCCGGCCAGCGCTGGCATCAGCTCCTCTTCTCCTTCTTCAGCAGACCTCGAATTCGAGCTGGCAGCCAGCAGCGATGATTTCGAGAGCGTAGCGCCAAACAGCCTCTTCTCCAGCCCAGCTCACTTACTGGGAAGCAAAAGTGGTAGCGGCCGCGACGATGGCGACGTCGTGATGCACCATGCGGCGGCATTCACCGACCTGACGGGCGCTACGTCTGTCCACCCAGGAAATTCGCCTGCTCTGCTGCCCGCCAAGGCCGAGTTAGCTGTTGCCGCCACTGGCGCGACCCAAGGAGGGCATGGTGAAGGAGAGATACTGGCAGGAAGCAAGACACATATTCTTGCCATCCCGCAGCTGGAGCTCACCGGCCCCGAGTTCATCGCACCACCGCCCGCGAAGCGCGTCATGGCTGTCGCGCCACCCCGCGGACGCCTCCTCGACAGCGAGACCATTCTCGGCGTTGCGTCGGCCATTATCACGTACAAGCACCACACGCCCGAGTCTCTGTGGCCTCAAGACGCCAAGGGGATCAACATCTGCGGACCCAGATACCTGGACCGGAGCGAGTGCAGCACCGTCCACCTTCTTACGCTCTCCATCCTGCCGGCTGAGCGCAGCCAGGGCTTAGGCGGGAAGCTGCTGGATGAGCTGCTGGAACGAGCCAAGGTGCGCGTCTGCGCGCAGCACCTCGCTGCGCAGCGCCAGAAGAAACAGTCAGCGCAGGGTTCAGCGCAGTACAATTTGACCGCCGCGGACGAAATGAAGCCGCAACAGCAGCAGCCTAAGACACGTGTCTACCTCGAGGTGCACCCGTCCAACTCGAGAGCGATAGAGCTCTATTTGCGTAAAGGCTTTCAGCAGGCCGCGGGCAGCTCAGGCACCAAGCGGGGGTTCTACCGTGGTGATGAGAGGATTCTGCCGCGCATCCGTCTCTCCGTCGGAGGTACGGATGCGTTGGTCTACGAGAAGTGGTTGTAATGTCTATGAGCTTCCCACGAACAACCTTGAAACAGCTTTGCGCGTTTTGTGCCGTGATATGATACAGTGGGTGGGTGTCTATGGCGCATGTATCTTGGAGGGCGAATGGATGCGGTACCGTCATAAGCTGTCACCAGGCAGCTTGAGATGATGCTATTAGATGCTGTCAATGTGCTGATGCAGCAGCTCGCCAAGTCGATCGACATAACTCGAGACTTCATTTTCGGTCAAGTGCAGTGTGTCGTACTTAGCACCAACGTCGAGGCAATCCCGCTCCTTATCGTAGACGACGTCGATGTTCAGGAGGACCTGAGTAAAGTGCTGGTAAGCCGACGCCAAGGAGACAGGTTGGGCGGCTGATTCGTTTGGTAGATAGTCGGCCGGAGATCCGATGTCGATAGCTCGGGGCTGGAATCCATCTTCGGGAGGTGATAGAGATGTGTCCCAGAGAATATTGATTAAAGTATCATAAAAGCGCTGTCCCTCTTCAAGGTCGCACCATCGCGCAATATCGACGAGCGAAGACTGTTCAAAGTCTCTGCGCATGTCCAGTTCGAAGGTGATGGCGGACGCAAGATCGCCCAGACTGTCCTTGATCGCATTCCTTGCCATGATCGGCAGAGGGTTGGCGCAGGGTGCGGCAAGCTGGTCGAGCAAGGGGAAGTGAGCGGACCGCCCACTGTGCATGAAGCCAATGATGGGCGACTCTTGTCCGGTCGCTTCACCCAAGACCTTCGCCCAGGCAGCCATGACACAGCTTTGCAGGTTCGAGTGCGAGCCTTCTGCGAGCAGCCTGCCACGTGCAGACTTGACATTTGTGAGGAGATCCTTTCGCCAGAAAAGCGTCGTCCGGCCGGATCCTCCTTGGAAGGCTGGTGCCAGGAGAGTTGGTCGCATGCCCGAAAGAGATGTCTCCCAGAATGCGCGGGCATCCTTTGAACGACAAAAGGTTGTTGCGAAGCGGGCGAATTCTGCAAAGGATGGCCTTTCGTCGACAGTCTTCCCGCCCGTGACCAGTGCGAATAAGTCTGTAAGCATCAGTTGCAGACTCTGCGCGTCGTATAGTGCGTGAGGCAATTGCAGCAGCAGAACAGAGGTCCCAGTCCGCTTGGATGGCAGCACATGCACCAGTCTCGGCGAAGATCTCTGCAGCGATGAAGCTACAAGATCATGCAGCAAAGCTGCAAGGTCACCCTCGTCGCGGCATGTCTTCAAATCTTCCCTTTCGTTGTCCATAGTCACAATGACCTTGCCTTCAACGTCACTCGAAAAGCGAGCGCTAAGGATCGTGTGTGTTTCAAGGAGGGTTTGCCATGCCTGGCGCACATGGCTGGTCTCGAGCAAAGTACCGAGATTGTACGCAAAGGAATAGACCCCCCCATTGGACGCAGGCGCACTGGCAGCTGCAAGGTGCATGAGCTGGCCCGGCAGCGCCGGGATTTCTCCTGACTGGCTGGATCCCCTTGAATCTCGGACACGACCCTTACTGCCTTGGATGAGCGCCGCAATGCCAAAACAAGTCTTGCCGTCGATGACATCACGCAAAGACAGCTGAATTCCCTGCTCGCGAGCCTTCTGAACGATTCGGATCGCTGAGACAGAATCAAGGCCGAGGGACACAAGTCGAGTAGCTCGCGGATCGATGTCTGACTCCTCGACCTCGGCGGTAGCAGCTACAATGCCGACAATTTTCTCGAGCTGTTCGGGGCTAATTTCGTCCAGAGCTGGGGATAATTGCGGTGTGGTGAGAGCTGTAGTACTGGAGGCGCTGGAGTGGAGACGAGGCTGCGGTAGGTCGAGGCAAAGGGATACCGTCGGCAGGGTCAGTAGAGATTGAAGTCTGCGAATGCAGTTGGAAGCAAGCAGACGCAATGTTGTGTCGTCAAAGTATGTCCGGAGAGCCAAGAACCTCATCTCGAGCTCGTTTTTGCTCGTGCGGACTTCAATGTTCAAAGGGTACTGTGGAGGGTTTGGGTAACGGAGAAGTTAGCGCGGAACTGATTGAGCGAGATCGTGCCGGCCGACTTACATGAAGCTCGCTATCGCCTTCATCACCATGGTCATTGTTGCCTTCGTCTAGCAGAGTCATTTCCACCCCGGCAGGCTCATGAACGTCTTGGAAATCAAACAAGACGTCAAAGAGTGCTTCTGTGAGCCTCAAGGCCTTTGAAATGTCTCTAAGCGAGACCAGATCATGCTCAGACTCGTCCCTTAGCTGATCACCCGTGTATTGGATGGCTTCCACAGCGGATTTGTTCGCAAGTTGCCCAAGGCTGAACGCCGAAGGCACCGTGTTGATCATGAGACCTGGGATCTCATATCCATTCGATAGACGTGATCGAAGTGAACACACCCTGCCAATGACGATTTGCGAGCATGCTTGCCATTCCGCCAATGCAACTGCCACAGCGAGAAACGAGCTGGTCGCAAGTGTTTCTCCCGAGGCTTTTGCAAGCTGACGAGCTTCTGACAGGGGTAGAGGCAGTTGGACTGAGGTCGTCAAGTGGCCAGGCCGATGTAGGTATCGCGTTTGCAATCGCGATGACGTGATCGAAGAGAGACGTCGAGTCCAGAAGTCAATATCCTTGGCACGCGGAAGGAGGTCCTTAGAAGCATCAAACCAGCTCGTATGGACCACCGCACGCCCAGAAAGAGCGTCATTGGCGGAGCGCATCAGCAGCGCCATCGTGTCACCATCATAGAGCCTGGTAGACGAAAGCTCTATCGTCAATCCTGCTGTTTCATTTAAAGGAAAGACAAAGGTGGACTCACGCGTGATGCATGACCAGCTGCACCAATGATCCGTCCTCACTCGGGACAATGTTGACCCGGAAACGCGGGAAGTGTTCCAAGCTTGCGATATCTTTGGCAATCTGTGACAAAGCCTGCGCATCCCAAAGACAGTGATCCACCCTCACGCATTTTTCAGCAATGATCTGAGAATCAGAATGCAGAACCTGCAGCCAAGGATGTTGTCCGCGGTTGGGATGGAAGGTAAGGCGGAAGATATCGTGTGCCCCGATCAGAACAGTGAACGCAGTTTGTACAGCTACCGCATCGCCACTTGGAGCGCGGAAGTGAAACACGTGCACGTATTTCTTTCCTTCGCTGACGAGTGCTTGACTCAGCATTCCAATCTGCATTGGAATGCACAGACGAGCCTTCGCAACGAGGTCCTGTTGACTAAGGCGCATAGCATCTGCCGCAAAGGATGGGTCCACATTCACCACAGCGTCCTCGTCCCCTTGTGAAGTCGATTTAGGACCTTGTAGAAAGTCGGCAAGGGCTGAAATCGTTCTTTGCTGAATCACGTCACGAGCTCGGACGGGCTGCTTCAGAGCTTCGGCGAGTTGCTTTGCGAGAGCAATGCTGGAAATCGAATCTACACCAAGGCTTTGGAAAGCTACATGCACAAAGTCGGTCAACAAAGAACAAAATCAGCATGCGCGAAAGTTGAGACTTGATCGCAAGACTTACAAGCTTGAACGTTCATGTCAGCAGCTGGACGATCACAAAATGTAGCCACAGTGCTTGCTATCTGAAGTTCGAGCATCGTCCGGGGCCTTGTCTCCGCTCGCTGCGCCCCATCCGCAAAGCGTCTGGAAGTGAGTTCCAAATTATCGAAAAATTGCTGCAGAGATTTTCCGTCGATTTTATTGTTCATGGTCAGAGGCAACCGCTTGTTGGCCAAGACGAAAATGTGCACCGGAATCATGTAGTGCGGAAGGTGCTTCTCAATATGTGAGAGTGCCGACGCCATGACGGTTGCTGCTTCTTGACTCTTGAGTAAAGCCAATGGTCCGCTTTCGCTCGCAGCATTCTGTGATGAGATCGTCAAGAACGATACCAGCTGATTTCGTTTAACCGAGGGGTGTTTGACATAGAGAGTTGTGGCGTCCGTGACCTCTGCCGAGGATCTGAGCGCGGCTGAAATTTCGTCGAGTTCGACTCTTTGGGAATTGATCTTGACCATTGACTTGTCGACGCGCCCAAGACATTGCAAGCGACCGTCTGCCAGCATCCGTCCGACATCGCCGGTCAAATAGATCGGGGTTCCATCGGCGAGTTGTACAAAGGCCTTGCTAGTCAGATCAGGTCGTCCGATGTACCCGTCTGCAAGTTGAGGCCCTGCTACAGCTATTTCGCCCGAGGCACCACGGATGGCGGTCGATTTTTTCGATTCGTCCAAGATCAGAACCGTGCTGCCGGGATAGGCAGTTCCTACCAGAGTACGGCTGGTATTTTCTTGCACAAAACCCAGTGTGTTGCCTATGCAAGTCTCAGTGGGTCCCCATGCATTGACAAGCTTGCCGGTAGGGCCCCAGGATGCTAGAACCCTCTCGTCGATCGCGTCACCACCGCTCATCAGCCATTCTGTTGAAGGGAAAGGTAAGTCAGAAGCATAGTCCCACGCCAGCATCCTGACGAAGCTCACCTAGCTGAGAAGATAGGCCCAAAGGGATCGAAGGCACTAGAGCGGCGGGCAAGTCTGCCAGAGTGACTCCAAGCTCCTGCATGGCGCCTGAGAGATCATTAAGAAGCCAGTCTTTTGGGCCCGACGTGACCGCGAAGCCGAGAGCCAGCGGCATGCAAATCTCAATCAAGGAGACATCAAAGCCTGGCGAGGCCAGCTGTAGCATCCTAGAAGACTCGGAGTGTGGAAGCATTTCCTTCCAAGACAAAATGGCTGCAGCCAGTGCCATGTGACTAAGTCGGACACCTTTCGGTTTGCCAGTGGAGCCGCTGGTGAACATGATGTATGCCGTGTGACTGAGGGCTGGAGACGGGACCGCGATCTTTCTTTGGTCGTACGTAGTTGCCTGAGAGAGGGAAATCCGCTCGTATCTTGCGAAGATAGGAAGGACTTGGTGACTGATGATCGCTGCATCAGCTACAGCTTCGAGCATGTACAAGACCCGCTGTTCGGGGAGCGAAGTGTCCAATGGAACGTAGCCCTTACCACTTTTCCAGATTGCCAGCATGACTGTGTACCACTCAATGCCCCGATCAAGATGCACAGCGATATTTGGCGCAGACGAGTGGACAATCTTGGTTGCAAGGTTATCACTGGCTCTGTCAAGCTGCCCAAATGTCACAACTTCTATGTCTCCAGTCGTGTGCCGCCACCGCAGTGCATCTGCATCTGGGCTTTGGCGGACAACATTAGAGAAGCGAGTGAGGAAGTGATGTTGCTCTTGCGGCCAAACTGGTGTCGGGTTCTCGACCGAGAGCAGAGAAGGAGCCGCCTTCGGGAACTTCTGCTCACTGAGAAGCCAATCGAGCTGCCGGAGCAGTAAGTCTGCATGTTTGGTTGGGAGAACTTTGGTTGAGTAGCGAAGATGTAGATTGACATGGTCCTCTAGTGGTCCGGCACAAGCCTCGAGAGCAAGGGGAAAGTCATGTCGCATGCGCGTGGCGGAGGGATCAGGTTGAAGGATGGACTGCACAGCATTATCGGTGTGGACTTCCTTTTCGGTGAAGGCAAACAGCATGTCAAAGGGACTGGTGGTGAGCCCAGCGTGACGAAGGATCCGAGTCAATCCTTCGGCTTGGTGACGAAAGACTTCCGTAAAGATGCTCTGCAGCTCCTTTGCGTCAGTTGAGGGAGCCGATTGAAGTCTCCAGGGGACTACATTAAGGAAAGGTCCATGTGCATCCTCAATCCCCTCGATCGACAAATGGCGTCCGCTGAGGACAAGGCCGATCGTCACATCATGCTGGGCAAGGTAAGCGGACAGCAAGTGGAATAGCTTGCTCGCAATGAACACGTGCGGCGTGACTCCAGCCTCAGCCGCGCGTTGACGAAGCCTTGACAAGGGCAATGAGGCCAAAAGGTCGGATTCTTCGTACTCTGCAGCCACAGATCCACGCAGTCTGCGCCCTGTGAGACAAGGAAAGCGGCTGGCAGTGGCTCCATTCAGGTACTTTCTCCAGAAACTGGGTGAATCTTTCGGAGTGCTCATCCAGATCCTGCGAGCTGCTACCCCATGGGGTATTGTCGGATTCAACTGGCGACCTGCGTATGCGTCTGCAACTGCTGACCAAAGTCGAGGGAGAGAGACACCGTCGTACAGAGCATGGTGGATGAGGACGATGACCCTCGGATGCATGCCACTGTCGAGCACGAAGCGCACACGGAGCGGGGGTACAACCGCCATGTTCTTAACCAGATCAGCCAGATCTTGCTGTTCAAAGGTTGTTGGGCTCCAAGCTGCCAAAGGAAGCACACCTTCAGGGACTTTCTTGAGAATCACTTGAACCCAGTCTTGCGCATGTGGAACAAAGGTTGCTCGGTAAATCGCATGCGCCATGATGACAGATTCCCTGCCGAACAAGCGTGTATTAGTCATAGCTCTCGGCTCTGTTCCTCAGTCAATGGCCGCTCACCATGCATCCCGCAATCGTACCAAGTCAGCCACCAGGGGCAAGCTGCAGGACATTGACGTCACGTAGGTGCCGCCGTCTTCTATCACGGAGCTTGCGAGCATAGCAGCTTGCGAAGGTACTGTTGGCAGAACCGCCTCTATGCTGCCGATATCCGCGCCAATTTCGCCTGCAATGTGAGCTGGCTCAATGTCATGAAGCGCTGTTTCCGAAGACTCTGAAGTATCGCCTATCTGGCTTCTCATCACGAGCGTCGCAAGCTGCCGCAATGTGGGATTTGCCAGTACCGATTGCGCATCGATCGTCCACCCTTGCCGGCGCATCGAAGACGCCAGGCGAATCGCAAGGATACTGTCAAGCCCACACCTGAACAAGTCATCGTCTTCCCCAGGACTGCGAGCCAGCTGAAGAAGCTTTTGACAGAGGATTTTCAGCGGTCCCAAGATGCTGTCGTCGGAAGAACCTTTGGATCCGTCGGATGGCAACTTCAGCCCTTCTTGCGACTTCTCGAATGAATCATACTGCTCAAAGGCTTGCAGTAGACGTGTGCGGTCTACTTTTGCGGACACGATGTGCAACGGCAAAAAGTCGAGTATCAGTACGTATGATGGAATCATGGCCGCAGGAAGCCGCTCTCGCGCCTCCTTTTGGATACTTGACTCCAGCTCGTTGTCTACGATGAAAGAGGGTTCCACCTCGGTGCGATTGGCACGTCGAGAGGCGAATACAGCGATAGCTTTACCGGCTGCACGAGTTTTCGTATTGACGGCGATGCTGACCAGATGCACAGCGTGCATGGACGGTGCATGCAGGATAGTGGAAGCTACGTCGTCAAGTTCGATGCGCACTCCGTTGATCTTCACCTGAGATGCGCCTTTGCGGCCGAGGATCTCGACCTCGCCGTTGCCATGCATCCTTGCGAGATCTCCTGTACGGTAGCTCTTCTGCCCGTCGCAAATTCCGAAAACGTTGTCCTTGGCACCGCAGTATCCATATTCTGCGACCTGCGGGCCAAGTATTACCAGCTCGCCCACATGGCCGCGGGGCAGTGTTGCGAGGCCCCGGCATGTATGAATATCAACCACTTTGTATGTAGATCCCGGGAATGCGGCACCGACATTTCCCGCTTTGGATGCGGCGTCGACGTGCTTGCAAGACGATCCAATAGTTGCTTCCGTAGGGCCGTACGCCTGCAGAACGGGAGTGTTGGTCTTCGTCCAAAGGTGAACAGTAGAATCTTTGATCCGCTCCCCACCGATTATCAAGGCTTTGAGGTCTGGAAGATCGCTTGGGAGCACCGGTCGTCCGTCAGGATGCTGGAAGAGCGATGGGACAACAGCAGCATGTGTTACCCTCAAAGTTCGCAACACAGCCGGGAGGTCTTCCATGATAAGGTCTCGGCTTGCGGTGACGACCGTTGCACCCATAGACAACGGCAGCAGAGCCTCAAGCAAGTGAACATCAAAGGCCTCCGCGGAGCGGGCCATGAAGCGTGATGATTCAGTCACAGAAGAGGCCTTGCCAATGATGTGCTCAAAGGACATGAGTGCAGCGTCGAGATTTCCATGGGAAAGGCCCACCTTCTTGGGCTTTCCTGTGCTACCGGATGTGAACATGATGCACGCCAGAGTCTCTTTGGGTGGGAACTGCGCGGGGGCCCATGATGAGCCTAAGCTGTATAGCTCGTCCAACGACACGGTCTTGACTGGCTTTGTTCCACCAGCGGTTGCGACGCAGATGTGAGACTCGCTTTCTTCTAGCAGAACTTGCTTCCTGCCAGCAGGTAGGTATTGGTCGATGGGAACGTAACACCTTCCTGTGGCAAAGATGGCGAGCATAATTGAATATGTGTGGATGGTCCGAGGGAGATCAACCGCAACACGAGCACCGGCAGGGGCTTCGGCCTCGAGATAGGAAGCAACGCGACAAACCTTATCTAAAAGCGCCTCGTAGGTAAATGTGTTCGGCTCGAGGTGAGAGTCGTTCTCGTGCCACACCTCTACCGCTGCGGTGTGCATCCGACTTTGACACTCTTGCAGCACAGCACCTATAGCCGAGCGAGGGGGCTGAGATAGTGAAGGCGTCGTGCTCTGAGAGAGTGAGCTCAGCGGGAGGCCCTGCCAAATAGTTGGCCCCAATGCACTGGACGGGCGTTCAGCGATTGAGCTGATGAGATGGTCCAGCTGAGTAAGTATCTCCTGCGCGCCCGACTCGTCTGCAATGCGCGGATCGTAGGTGATTTCGGCGATAGCGTGCGTTTCGTTGCGAGCGCTCAAAATCTCACATGCGATGGCATGCTCAACACTGATTCCTTCGTTTCGCGCTGACAATAGAGGTCCAGCGACTTCAACGGAACCTGTTTCTGGGGTGTATGTGAAGAGCGCTGCATAGAGTGACTGCCTTGCGGGCAAGTCGAGGAGCTTGCGTATGGCTTGACTCGAGATCTGAGGATAGCGCATGGAGCACTGATGCGCGCGATGAATCGCGTCCACGATATCGCGCCACACTGTCGTCTCATTGATTTGGACGGGCACAGGAGCAGTCGTTATGAGACAGCAGCTGGCGTCTGCCAGAGTCGATGACACGCCTCGCAATGAGATCGTCTCGCCCACCAGAAAGGCGGAAGTACCGAAATAGCACTTGAGAAGGTATGCCCAAACTGAAAGAAAGACTGCGCGTGGCGTTGCATTCAGAGCCGTTGCGGCTTGCTGAACGTCGACGGTGCTTTTTGTGAGGACGATCTTGACGGTCTTGAATTCCTTCGTTTTCTCGCACAACGTTGCTTCTCGAATGTCGGGAAACGATGGGGATTCCAGACGACCTGCAAACGGTTGCAAAATCTGCGACCAGGCGGAATGCGCGTCTTCATTCCAAGCTTCGTCTACCCGCAGGAGTTGATGAACTGCGGCTTTAGTTGTTGGTCCCGAAGAGCTCCGTTCTACGGTCATCGAGTAGCACGCATTGATGCTGCTTTGCAGGAGGTCGAGAGAGTGAGCGTCGTACAAAGTGTGATGTATCTGCACGGTCAGACGAGCTTCAGAAGTCGAGGTAGAAATCGTGAACTTTACTGGAGGTTCAAGGTTGAGGGGAAGGTAATCAGATGATATCGTCTGTGCTAGGGTGATTTGCGCCGGCGCGTGTGTCTTCACCGCCTGTAAGAATGGTCTGTGGAAGGGTCGTGAAACGTTAAGTGTGCAAGTCTGGAAGTATGAGCAGGGAGGGAAAACGTACTGCTGCAGTCGCTTGGCCAATGACGAAGCAGCCACCCCATCATCCTCAAAGAGTTCGACCGGAAGAAAGCAAGTACGCAGAGCCTCTGTCGCGGCAACAGCCACACGGATCGCTTCTTTGAGTTGCTTGACGTCAACGTCCAGAGGTAAAGTGAAAACACGCCTGATCCAGTAAGAACTTGGGTCGCGCAATGTCTCGACCAGCATGCCAACCTGTGCAACCGAAAGCGGGAGGATGGCTTCGATTTCGCTGTCACTGCAGTGCAGTGCTGCAGATACAGCCGGTCGGTACGACTGATCGAACTCTTCCAACTCCCTCTCGAGGTCGGTATCGACATTTGCGCCCTTCGTCATGGGTGCAACGATGTGCTCTGTGATCTTTCTCAGCGTTCCAAGCTGGATAATGTCGACAGCTGAAACATGCACATCCAGCTTTGCGAGTTTGCGCCCCAGCGCGATGGCTTTCATCGAGTCGAGTCCAATGCTGAGCAGCGGGGTTGTGCCGCCGATTATCGCAGCATCGACGTGACACAGCTCCGCCACCGCGCTTCTGATTTGCGCTGCCTCTTTGCTCATTTCCCAATCGCCATCGTCATCGCAGGCGAAATATTTTGCGTCTGTAGCAGCAATGGCACCCTCCCATTGCTGGATGTCGAGCTGAGACAGAGCGTGTTTGATCGCGACCCGATCGATCTTGGCGGAGGAGTTGCGTGGAAAGCGGCGCAAGATGACAAATAGAGATGGGACCATGTACGACGGCAGTTTGGCAATGGCAAAAGCGCGAAGCTCTCGCGCGATGTTAGCCGCGTGCGCATCTGTGCGCAACAGCTCTTGCGTAGGCGTCTCTGGCGAGGCCTGCAAATGATCCCCCTCCACAACGCTAAAGTTGACGATTTGCTGGCCTCCGTCTTCGTCCCTGCCATGTGAGGGAAGTGCCATGGTCTCAGAATCCCGCACGCTGCGTGACGCTGCTTTTAGCGTAGCGTTGATCTCAAGCAGCTCGATGCGGATGCCATGAATTTTGACTTGGTCGTCGCTGCGCCCGAGGTACTCTATCGACTGGTCTGCCAGCTGACGCGCAAGGTCGCCTGTGTGGTAGATGCGCCCAAAGCGCGGATGGTTGACGAACTTATTTTCGGTCTTCTCTGGTTCAAAGAGGTACGACTGCGCGAGCTGGCTGCCACCGAGGCACAGCTCGCCGACACAGCCCTTTGGCACAAGCTCACCGCGAGCGTCAAGAATGATGCACGACGCGGTGGGCAGCGCGACGCCGATATTGGGCGACTTGAAGGTGTCGTTCACGGGAACGCGGCGGTGCATTGCGATCAGGGTCGCTTCCGCTGGTCCGTAAAGGTTGAGCAAGCAACAGTCTTCGCGACTCCACTCGTCTGCCACCACCTGGCTCAGCTTTTCACCGCCCGAGATGAGCACGCTGATGCACGGAATGTCTTCGCGCTTCATCATCGCCATCACCGCCGGCGTGAGCAGTGAGTGTGTGACGCGCAGCTTGTTAGCAACAACCGCCAAGTCTGTCAGGTGCGAGGCGCGGTCCGATGAGCAGATTGTGCCGCCCAATGCCCACGTGTAGAAAGTGTCCATAATGCTGAGGTCGAAGGAGTACTCGGAAAATTGGAGGTAGCGCACCGTATCAACGTGCGAGTGTGGAATGACCCGGCAGAGGGAGCGGATGGCTTGCACAGCACTGAAATGCCGGATACCAACTGCTTTTGGAAGGCCTGTCGTACCGGATGTCCAGATCGCATACGCAAGGCCGCTGCTCGGGGTGCCGTTGTGTGCACGGAGCTCATCTGTGCCCTTTAAGCTGCGAGATGCAGCAGCAGCAGCTTCCGGAGACCAATCAAGCGAATCGAGTCCGACCACGGGGATGGACGTTTCAGAAGCGCGAACATCACCGTGTACCTGTTCTGCCAGCTGGCTTCCGACAGTGACGACGCACTTGGCGCGAGCTTTTGAGATCAGCGCCTGCCTGCGCTCTGCGGGCCACTGCACGTCGATTGGGCACCAGGCTGCACCCGCCTTGATGACGGCAAGCATCGACAGGTACGTCCAAGCCGATTTGGGCAGACATAGAACGACAATGTCGACTGCTTCGTCTGGATGTGCAAGCGACTCGCGTCCCTGGCCGATCCCGACGCTCTGAAGCTTGGCAGCGAGGATATCGGAGCGCTGACGCACTTCGGCATACGTCCACTGCGCAAGCTGGATACCCACCTGCTCCCCCATCGGTTTTCCACGGGAAGATATGCAGGCCAGACCAGGTTGAAAGTCGATGGCGAGCCGCTGAGGAAAGCGAATTGCAGAGTTTGCGAACAAGTCCTCCAGGCGTGCCGTCTCGAAGTCGTCTGCTACATTAGTTTCCAGTGCCATCTCTTCCTCCTCGGCGTCATCTATTGGCTTTCCCGCGTCGCGCTCGGTCAAGGTGCGTGGATTGGCATTGTCAAAGGCGAGCTGGCTGTTTGGAAAAAGAGCAGTCGATAACGCCGGGCTCTTCTCCTTCCCAGGCCCGTGGAATGCGTCGGCTAGCGTGACGAACTGCGCTAACATTAGATTCGCCGAGGTGTCCGAGTGGACTGCAGAGGAGGCAAGGAGCTGGACGCGCAGCTGCGCATTCCCTGCAGGCGCGACACTTATATGCAGGCCGAGTGCGACCTTTTGTGATAGATGTTGCAACACAAGGACGAAGTCAGCGTGATCAGCAGGGATACAGCGCGTAGAAAGGCAGGCTTACCTTTCCTCCCGAAACCAAATGCCGCAGATCATCCGCGTGCCCTCCAATGGAGAGAGCAGCACAAGCTGCGTGCTTTCGAGCCAGCGCCTGTTCTGACTTTTCAGGCTCCTTGCACACATGAAGAATCTTTTCCTTAAGAAGGCTTTGAATGTCCGAAACAGTTGCATGTCTGCCCCCGTCGGCGAGCTCGGCTGTCAAGTTCACCTCGAGAGGCATCCACTTGGCATCGGGATGACCGCCATCCTGTCCAGAGGTCGCAGATGAGCGCAAGAAGGTGATGCCCGAGTTTTCGTGTGCAAGATAATGATGAAGCAGGATAGCAAACAGCGCCGTTACTGTGACTTGTGGTTTTGCATCGGGCTTTCCTTCCACAAGAAAGCGGCTCGGCAGCAGGCCCAAGTCGCGCTGGGCGACCACAACGTCGCTGCGATCCCGATTCGTGCTCCGCAAGCCGGACACGTCCGGAAAGGGAACGACATTCATGGGTGCTTAGGTCTGCGATGATCTCCAGTGCTGGCGTTGAGAACAGATCGAAGCAGGTGATGGATCGATGTCAATGCGAAGTATGAAAAGCTAGGTCTAGAAGCACGTCCATTAACAAGGCGTTGCTCCTCAAGCCAGAACCTTTGTTGCAAAAGACAGAATTGTGTTAGGGGCGTCAGGCAAGCGCTACGTCCAAACGATAGGATCTTGTTCGCGGTGAAGCGGTGCCATTGGGCCTCGACGTCGAGATTGCTGCAGTCTGTATGCAGGCGAGGTCATTAGGCACGCCAAAGAGCGACGGGTATGTACGAGTACATGGGTTTTAAGCTAGCGATCAGATGAACGTGAAGCGAGCTGCCGATCCTATTCTAGGTGCTCTGATTTGTATCACCCCGCCTAGTCCGATCGATGCCTTGGCGCCCAGCACCCAGTGGCTGATGTGCGCTTTATGCGATGCATTTATGCGATCAGATTTGACTCGATAGTAAATATGAGGCAAGGCAGGAGAGACACAATCAGAGCGATCGGCAGCGAGAGCTCTTTTCATGGAGCACACATGACACAGCACGGCGACAGTGGACCAGTCGCCAAGAAAAGCCACGTTGCACCGAATTGCAGAGTCCACGGAAGCCGGATCAAGTGAATAGCTCAAAATCGTTGATTAGGAATCTTGATCGTTCGAGGATGACATCAACTTAGCTTGTGAAGTTGTGCTGTGGGTGACGGACCCATTAGTGCTCAATGACGTCGCTGTGCGTAGAGACCAGAGCAGCACTACTGAAAGCGTGCCTCGCGGAGTGCGCGCGTCCCGAGTTGCGAAGCAACGGGTCTCATGTATTTCCCCTGGTACGTAGTACGCAGGGCGGACGCTCGGCTGGGTACTTGCTACCGCCTCGTCCGGTCTTCCTGCCCTGTCGGCCACGCAACATTGGAAGAAGATTCGGTGCTGATGGGCAGTAAGGATGTAGTCTGTGTGACTTTCCAGGCTGCTTGCTTTCACGCAAGGTGCAATTCAATAAGGAAACCTTACTTGCAAGCATATTGCCGGCTCCATGGCTGTCCACGCAATCAAGCATAGCGAGGGAACAGCTAGGCGGACCAGGGCCGACCATAAACACGTCTGTTAACACAATGCCCGCGCACCGATTAGATTCAATCATACGCACCGCTGCTCGAAAACGGGTGCTCTGAACGCCCAGTCTGGGTTCGCAAGCAGGTTTGCAGGTTAGTCGATGTTTAGCTGTTTCCTTTGCCTGGGCACTGGATGAAATGAAGAGAAGGCGATCGCCATCAGAACTGACATCCTTCGTCCAAATGCCGTGCTTACGTACTTACGAAGCACTCAATCGCCGTCGTTGATGATTGTCGCAATGCGATGCGCGGTTATGAGCAACCTGAAGAACCCAAAGGTATCGGGACGCCTGAGGATCTCCTAGATCTCGCGATCCGACGTCTCGTTGGGCGAAGATGCCGACTCGTCCATGCACAGACTCTTGCGCTTGAGAAGCAGTGAACGCCCGAACGAGAAAAGATGTTGTTGGCCGGGACTAAGAATCATGCTCTTGCCGCCGAGTACAGCCTCTAGCCTGGAACCGAGCGAGGCAACAAGGGCATCGAGTTGCGCAAGGAGGGAGCGTTGCAACTCGGCATCTAGGGTTGACACGCCACAAAAACTCAGCCTGAACCCACACGGCATTTTCGGAGCGCATGCCAAATCTGCTTCTCGTTGCATACGCGCCCTCGGGATCCAGATTCTCGCGTGGAGATGTAGCGAGGATGAGTGCTCTCTGCGGAATGATGCGCATCTGCGCGCGCAGTGTGCGTACCTCCCGCCCCTTGAGTACTCGCCTGCCGATGACGATACCCGACTCTTATGGCAGGCCAAGTGCGCCGAAATGCATTAACTGTGCGCTGCTCTTTCCCGCGCCGATTCTCCCACACATGCCAATGCGTTCGCCCGAGCGACCATTGAGATTAAGGTCGGGAAAGATCGGGTGGACGTTTGGGCCATGCTAACATGCTGTCACCTGTTTGAATTCGGCTGACCCACCCGGCAGCTGCAAGCCTTCGTCTCGCGATACTTTCGCTCGAGCGCTGTTTCTTTTCGCTCTCGGCGGCCGCGCTCGGCAGGTCGGAAAATGCGTTGACGCGCTCGATGGCAACAGCAGCGATCTTAATCTCGGTGACTTCGATGACGAAAACTCACATCAGAGCAGACAGGGGGCGGCACGAGTCAGCACGACTGCGAGAAGGCTGATCCTGGGGTTGGAGCGCAGAGCGAGAAGGATTGCGGTGAGCGCCGTGTTCATCGGCAGTACGAGCAAGTTGACCGCTATCTGCAGCCATGCGCTGACTGCAAAGAACGTCGCATATGACCACTCGGAAGTGTTGACGCGCGAGGTATTGAGCTCGAAAAGCTGTTTTCTGCCCCCGAACGCACGGATCGCGACGAGGCCCCAAGGCGATCACGTTTTCCCGAAGAGCGACCAGATTGAGCTCATAGGTGCCATCTCGAGGCGGCAAAGCTGGCGAGATGCGCAATTGTAGGGCCGTTAGAGCAGAAAGTAAAAGATGATCTTGACGCCGGTGACTGCGAGCACCTAAGCAGCTGGAAGGGACATTGCTATGATCTAGCTGGTGAACTGCTACAATTGTCGAAGCAAAAGGTGATGAACGTCCAGGAGAGCTGAGAATCGACAAAGAAAACGACCCCGCTAGAATCTTGAGTTAATCCAGCCGCATGAAACGGACTCGAAGTGGTTCGGGAAGCGCAAAACGCCGGGCAGCTATCGCGCATGCATTCTCACATCCGCTCTAGAGTAGATGTACGCCACATTGAACGACGTTCATGATGAGGAAGCAGAGCGACATCGCAAGGGTAGTTGCAATAAAGCCAGCTAGGTAAGAGCCTTGTGATTGTCCGTAACTGCGCCCATATGGAATTGCTTAGAATTGAGGTTGGTATTGTACCGCAATGAGGCCTGCCCCAGCTAGCATGATCCAGCTGACGCCTCAAATAAAAGCCCGAACAATGCAACATCGGATCGCGATTTCATACACTGACGCTTTGGCTCCGGCCTGTTGCATTTATCACTGTTCGTCGTAGTCCCAGAATTTGCAGCAGCAGCTGTTTACTGGGCCTTGGGAATCGGGAGCATGGAGGGTGTCAATTCAGCGCCCGCCCATCCAACAGGACACGCTCGATGCGATTCACAAAGCTCGAGTCGTCTGGGTCCAGTAGTGCGAGTGAAGCATGTGAGATGCCGAGTCGTGCGTGTGTGATAGAGCGTGACGATGTGGCGCACCCTGGCGGCCGGACTACTGCGGGATGTACCCCGCTTCTGCTAGCGCTAAGGGAGAGAGAACATCAAGCAGTGCTGCACCCCACCCCCCTCGGCAAAGAGCATTCGTGGATCCCAGCGCTTTCGCGAAGAATTGTGCGGAGGTGATCAAGCTCGGGAGCTCCGAGCTTTCTTCAGGTCTGCCCTCTGCACGTATTGCGCCACAGCCTGGGCCGCTACCCACGTCTTTGAGAGCACAGAACACAAAGTGCCGAGGCATCACGCTTTCGAACGAATGCCGATGCGCTTTGTCAAAGGGCCCGAATTACATGAGCGCGCAACGTGCGCGGCGGTACGCTGCTGGTCTGCATTCCACAGGGACGCCCCAGACAAGCCGCGCGGCAGGTCCGATAATACAAGTTGGAGAGTAACCGAAGCCACAGCGTGCCACACCTTTGCGCAACGTCCACGGTGACACAGCCCCTCCTTGCTTTCTGCGCACTTGAGATATTTGAAGATGGCTCGTAGTGCGAAACTCCGTGCCTGTGCGCTTAAAACGTAGCTCTCCGCGGCGTCAGTGGGCTGTCTCGCTGCCGCGACAAAAAGCTGACGCTAGAATGCCTCAAGGTGCAGCGTTTCTATGACTACGCCCACACACTTATTGATGACGAGCCTCTCGCACTTGTTGGTAGGGATGTTTCCTTGAGTTAAGCTCGAAGATGACTCACGCCTCAGAGGCGAGGGCTTCTCTGGCCGAACGTGATTGCATCCGCTGTCTGCAAATGGAAATGCTGGTCACCTCGCCCTATTATATTGGCTCCTTCCGATTAGCATGGGTAGTGTCGCCCAGGCAAGGTCTTTCAGGTGAACTCCTAAATGGGACATATGGCGGGTTGTTGTAAAGTATTCGTGCTCATCAAGTGCAAACTTTCTTGGAGGCACTCGAGGCCACCCCAAGCATAATTTTTCCCTTACATTGAGTAGGCGGGAAATGTCGAAGGCTAAGGGCTCGGCATTTTTATTTGGCCCTCCTTTTCTTTTGACAAAAGCTGCATCTCAGCATTATCCCTCGGCAAGCATTAGTGCAACCGCAGCGCGAAAATCTCTGGTCTCTTTAAAGGGGAGGGGTCGTTTTTGCCTTGATGCATGGACCTTTGACAGATCAAAGTCCATGATCACCTTGAACCACTTGTCCTTTCAGAAGCTGTTCGTTGTCTTTCCGACCCGTGACGCGGGAAGGCTCAGGGCTGAGCTTTACCTTACGTGGAGAAAAGGAGGTTGCATGGTGATGAGGCGGACTGATTGCAACGCGGAAGGTAGACATGGGCACGCAGGGTATCAGCAGAGGCTGTATAGAAAATATACGGAACGGCCTGCAATTTGCAAGGGACCGCGATCTTAAAAAGCATGCACAGATTCGGGTACGTGAGTACACACATGTACATCGAGACTTCGACTTTAGAGAGTAGTTCAGGTAGCAACGATTGTGGTGCCAACGTCCCTTGAATGATGGATCCGTGCCAGGTGGCATAGATGGGCACAAGTTGACACCAGTGTTCCTTGAAAAAGTTTTAGCGCCATATGTACCAAAAATGACATGCCTAACGGTATTCAGGTCAAGTCGGCGGCGCCGCCCTACCGCAGGACCAAAAACATGTGTCCTATCTTCATTGTCCATGTACATACGTACACAAGTACCGCACAATGCGACTACCCGAGCAAGACACTACTTATAGACCCAGACTATGCCCATAAAGGGCCACAACATTGATGATGACCCAAACGTCCGCCTTGCAACATGCGTCCTTGATTCTCCGTACCCTGTCTGAATATATTTGCAAAAAGGTAAGAGCCCTGGATTCCGGTATATGTATACACACTTGCTTCGACAGCTTGCGTTGAGGAAGGTGCGAAGCTGGAAGGCTTGTGTTGTGAGTTGGGCGGGCACTATCATTCGCAAGTCGGCTTCTGCAGCGTGTTATACTTTCCTCATCTTGTGGTCAGAGTCCCCTTGATCTCGAAGCTTTGAGCGTATAAAGTGTAATTGCGGTTAAACTTTATTTGATCGCGATGACGAGTTCCTTAGGTGTGAGCTGGTGGAAGGATTGTACGGGCAAGGATAGAGGTACATTATTTTTATTCATGTACTCCCAGGAACCTCCTTTAAATAAATTAAAAAGGGACCAAAAGCTTCCAAGCCTCAGTTCTTTCAGATCTGAGGTCTGGGTTGAAAATGTACCCCCCCCCCCGAGATTCCATGGCTCCAAACCCAGTATACATTGTAAATTACATACATTTTATAGTGCGCCACCGAGATAGACCGCTTCCCCCATTGTGACCCCTCTTCGCGGTCTGGAGTTGTAAAGCGCAATTGCTAATTACACCCGATTGCTACAGTAGTGCTGGATGCCTCTCGTCACGAGCGTACATGCATTCGTTGGTATCCGCGCTTGCTTCTGGCCCGGCACCTGTACAGGTAAGCCCTCCGGGTGGGCGGGGGTGAGCGGGGGTTTGGTTGGTAAGGATGCCGCTGATATGCATAAGCATCTCTCGCCCTACAATATACCATTTACATGCCATAGCCAGACTGTAGTAGCAGGTGATTCTTCTCTCTCTATGACCCTGCACGACTCTAGGTACTTCCCTTCGCCCCCCCCCCAAAGCCCTTACCCATCGTCACTCTTTTTCATGTCTCACCCGGATACGCGGCTATGAAGTGCATCAGCGTGACGCTCGCACTGTCGCTCATCAGCTCTCTGCTCCCGCTGCTCGCGGCGTCCGACGCGTATGCCTCACCTCAAAGGTTTGAGCACCGCCGACGCCACCAGCACGTCGCAGTGCACGTTGGCGATGCGCAGACGACGAGCGGCAGCGCCCTTGCAAACAAGCATGTCGTTTCGTCCGAACGTGCGCAAACGAACAGCAAGACTCAAGCTAAGTCAGAGGCATTTACCCACCCAGGCGTACTCGTCAGCAACGCGCAGCTTCGATATGTCAAGTCGCAGCTCGGTCTGGACCAAGACGGGAACTTGACGACCGCGAGCAAAACGCCATGGGCAACCGCGTACTCGCATTTCATCACTGCCAACTACACCTCGCTCTCCTGGGCTGCGTCGCCGCGTGCGAATGTCGAATGCGGCTCGTACTCAAACCCGAACCTGGGCTGCACGGACGAGCGGCAGGATGCGATTGCCTCATACAGCCTTGCGCTGGCATACGTCCTGACGGACAATGATGCATATGCGAAAAAAGCGATCGAGGTGATGGATGCGTGGGCAAAGACGCTCCAGACGCACTCGAACAGCAACGCTCCGCTGCAGACTGGCTGGGCGGGCGCGATGTGGCCCAAGGCAGGCGAGCTGATCCGCTACTACTATGGTCACAAGTGGCCGTCGTCAAAGCAAACCCGCTTCCAGTCGATGCTGCGTGACATTTACCTGGTAAGCTGCTTTACCTTGCAAGCTAGAGGCAATGCTAACCGCACCGCCGCCCGCTTCTTCAGCCTACGATCATCAACGGCTCTATGTCCAACGGCAACTGGGAGCTCGTCATGATGGAGGCGGCGATCGGTATTGCAGTCTTTCTCGAAGACCGCTCATCGTACGACAAAGCAATGCATACATTTCAGAAGCGCGTCCCGGCCTACATCTACCTTGCATCGGACGGCAGCCTGCCCAAGACGGTGCCCAAGCAGAACCTCAACTCGAAAGACAAGATTATTGCCTACTGGCAAGGGCAGAGCAAATTTGTCTCCGGCCTTTCGCAGGAGACGTGCCGCGACTTTACACATGCGTGCGTGAGCTGCGTTATGTCTGCGCTGGCCTTGGCTGACACTCTTCCGCTCTTGGGATAGCGGGTATGGCCTGGCTTCGATCGCAAACGTCGCAGAGACGGCGCGGATCCAAGGCAACGACATTTACCAGACGACCGACCTGGGCAAGCGTCTGCGCAGGGCGCTCGAGTTTCACACACAGTACCAAAATGGCGAGCCTGTGCCCTCGTGGCTCTGTAATGGCGCGTATGCGGGCGACCTTGAGGGTATGACCGAGGTCGGCTTCAATGCATTCTTCTTTCGCGCGGGCAAGAGGATGCCGCAGACGCGCGAGTACACGGTCTCGCGTCGCCCGCAGGCGGGTAATTCGCTCTTTCTTGCCTGGCAGACGCTTACGCACGCAGAGCAGCCAAATTGAGACACACTGCCTTTTCGCTTCGCAGGGCCTTTTTGCTGGTCAAAAGCGGGCCCTAGCAGCGCATTTCAGAGCGACCCTTTTTGTACCCTACATGTACCACAGACTTCCATTAAGTTGGTCTAAATCGCAGCAGGTGGCAGAAGCGAGGAGAGAGCCTAGAGATTGCCGTTTGCGCGTAACCCTATACTCAGGATCTCATGAGCGAAAGAGGGCGACAAGAAACAAAGAACACTCTTTCGAACCCGTGATGTCGCACGCGCAGCAGACTGCTGCAAGGCACAAAGGGAACTGCGAATCGAATTTGGTTTCTGCCAAAAAGAGGAAAATAAAAAAGAAATGGAAAACGAGCGCTGGTCAAGAGCGCACTGGCAGAGCAGCCAGCATCCAATCGTTGCCATGTCCATCACTGCTTCGGTTAGGTTTGGATCAGGGCGTCACCTTCATATTGGGGTTGTGGCGTCTTGTCGTAGACGTCGCTGTCGTCGTTGTCGGGTTGTCTCTATCAACCCTACGAGCCTCCGCCATGTTTGCTGCGAAGCGATCACACTGAGAGCCTTTCTGCGATACGAGCGGGCCGATTGCATCGCCAAGATCTTGTCGCAGCTCTTTGCCCCATCGAGCACAATGGAACACCCAGAGGGCAAGCCAGTGTCGTCTGGGAGCCTGGGTGGCGCGGCTCAGCCGCTTTCAGATTCCCAGCTGATGTTCGAGAAGCGTCAACTGGCAAAACCCATGCTGGGATGGCCAGACGGATGCCTCTTTGGCCAGGCGCTGATGCCAGTGGTGCCGCTGTCGCCGACCTCGCTGCCAGCAGAGGAATCGCTGTCTCCCTTCGTCGGTGCACCCCGCGATGCCGCCCCTCCCGCGGCATTACCGCAGGGGCAAAATGTGTCGCTGCTCTCTGCCGCCATTTCTGCGCATGATGCAGAACGCAGGAAGGCGACGCCAGGCCTGCTTTTGCAGTGCTCTGGCAGCATCCTGCGCAAATCTTGCCATACACCCTCTCCGACGCGCCGCTGCACATTTGGCGATGAGCCGCGAGCGAGCCAGTGAGTGCATGCGCCCTATGGTGAGCTTCTTCCATGGGCTCATCTCTCTTGTCCCACCAGCACACGCTTCTGCGCCCCGCCTCTTCCGCTGGAGCGGCCGCGCAATTCGCGCACCAGCTCAGGGTGCAACAATCCTGCGGGGACCGCGCCTTGTCAGCCGCAGCTGCCGACAGCAGACATACTCACAAGGGACAATCGCCGGCCGCTCACCTTCTTGGATGCAGCAGATCTGCTCAGGTCCCGGGCGGAGCGGCTGAGCAAGGATGCAGACGCTGCGGGCCATGCCGCTACACGGCACCACTTTGCGCCCGCGCTTGCGCGCTCGCAGTCCGAGTCCAGTCACAGCCTAGTCTCGGCCGCAAGCCTCGCGCCAGACTGCGGCCAGCAACACCTACGGCGCGCATCCGCGTCATTGCTGCCGCAGCCTTCGTTGGCGCTGACCGCACCTTACATTGCACCCTGTCCCCCGGCTCCGCTGCGGACTCGCACCCTTCAATTTGCGGAAAATCCAGACGATCCCATCGAGTGGCACGAGCGTGAGCGGCCCCAGTCACGAGCGTCCAGGCGGAGCACCAGCACAGGCAGCGGGGAGACACACGCAGACGCGATTGAGGGTGCACTGGCCGAGGCGGATGCACCCGCCTGCGCCGAGGACCAAGCGCACTCTCCAGACGATGACGATGAAGACGTCTCTTCCGAATCGACGGACAGTGATTATCAGGCGCAGCAGGAAAGCGAGTCGGACGACGAGGAGGACGACCGGCGGATAGGCTGGAGTAGCCGCGCCGACTGGATTGATGCTGGACCTGCGCTTCTCCGCAAAGCGAGGTCACTACCTGCTTCCCCTGGCCGGCAAAGCTACACACGGATCGCCATCTCGTCCTTTCTACCTGATGCCTTCGAAGATTCGGCAACCTCGTCGAACGTCTCGTCGTACAGCGGGACGACGGCTGCGACGACCATATCGCTCGGCTCGCGCGCCGCCCGGTCCTCCGCCGACCTCTCGCCCGTCAAATCGCAGCGGGCGTTCAGCATTGCAAGCAAGCCCTCAACGGCAGCCAGCACACTGCAGGTCATGACGACTCTTAGCTTGCGACCCGGTGAGACTTGTTCCTCAGCCTCCTCGCTGCTGTCCAGCCCTACCGCACCGCCGGACATCGCAATGTTTGGGGAGCCTCGCAGCGATGCGGACGTCGGCACCGGATCGCGTGCGGCCCCTCACTCGAGCAGGGAAGATGCGCTGCGACTGCTCCGGAGCTGTCTCTGCTCCTCGCAGCTTTATCGGCGTTCGGCCGAACAGACCGACACACGACCACCGCTTCGTGTCGTCTCAGCACCCCACACGCCGAGGCTCTCGAAGGACTTTTCGTGAGACTGGGTTCCGGACTGTACCTAGCATATAACTCGATCCAATGATACCCTATTCCACTTCGACGCGTCGCAAAGTGGCAATACTTTACGAGCCGTTACCTCTGGCAGCATTATGTTGAAATGACTCAATCTGTGACCGTATTTATAGGGTCATGACTGGTCCCTTGTCCAGCACCAGCCAAAGTAATGCAAACGTATGCAAAAAAATTAATGAACAACGAACGGCAAAAAGTTGGACGAACCGGGGATTGAACCCGGGACATTCTACTACAAAGATCGAACCATCGCTGAGTCATGCGAAGCAGACACCATACCACTAGATCATTCGCCCGCCTTGGGAGGAAGGATGGACGAACCGGGGATTGAACCCGGGACATTCTACTAGGAAGA